AGAATTATAAAAATGTACTTCATATATTTCATGTGGAGAATTGATGTGGAGATTCACTTGAAAATGTCATTGAATGTAGTTCATATATAGTAAGCATACTAGAACAAATACTGTCAGTAAATATGACAGTTGATGCAATGCTTATGTCATACAAGCTGTGTTTGTTTTCAAAACAAGCTTGCCAAGTTGAAATTAACAGTTATAAATACTGCTATTGTTGTAATGTTAAACCATTCTTGGGGAAAATACTAGAGAACCCATCATGATTAACCATGTTATCTCATTTGCTCTTGAGTCTTGAGTTATCTGTTTGAAGTCTTGAGTTATTTGAGTTATTCTGTTGCTATTTGAGAAACAGAAAAAGAGTAAATATTAGAGTGCAGTAAAACCATTTAGAGAAGAATTATTTTTGTGAAGATACAAATGAAACCATATACAGAACTGATACGACACTTTTTGGTAAGATACCAGATTAGCAATATACGAGAGAATAAGTACCAATAGAATAATTTTGGAGACAAGTACCAGTGTTCGGTGAATTCATCATCTGGACTGAGGTATTAGTGTATTTAAGTCATCGTCGTCTTTTCTACAAGAAAAGTTAGCCCGATCTGATTTCCCTTATGACCCTTATGAATAACCCTTGCTGTCTGACAATTGTTTCCCGAACTGAAATTCATTTATAATAGTCTATAAGCTTTGTAAGTCGAATTATCAGGGGACAGGCTGACAAATGTAGCATGCAAAAGAATGGGGAATAATGTAAAGATAATACGAATGAAGGACTTCATAATTGAAGCCTGGGAATTGTATGAGTGTTCCTATTGTAACCTTAAGTTTGATGATCGTCTGATGATTCTATTTAGAACTAAAAAGTCATTTTTCTATCACCTCACATAAGAAGTAGAGTCATATTCAAGATCAAGTTTAAGGAGGGATATGTATCTTAATCCATCTTGTATTTTTCTTTTTTTTTTTTTGATATACAGTCATTTTGTATAATGAAATATATAAGACACATAAACCATCATTATATTTCTTTGACTGGAAGAATGTACTGGTAGCATGGTATGAGTGAGACATAGCTACAGCATCTGAAACAGTAAGCTATGCCCTAGTAGATGTGTTATAATTTTCATTTTGTCAACTGACTACTAGTATTTACCTACCAGAGGAACTTATTTGCTGAAATTTATCAACCTAAAAAGGTTTATATTACAGCATTTTATAGGGTACATCATCTCTTTCTTGCTTTTTTACAGGCAGAAACTAAGTTAATTACAGGCAAACAATGGTACATGACTTATTTTGTATCATGAAATAAATCGATTCATGATCTCATATTTTAGAATGAAAATATCAAAAGATCGGTTTGAAAAATGTTGTTAATCCTGTATCAGTTTTATGATATGCGTCATGACTAACCTAGAAGTTATTTTCAAAGCATATCATTGTGTCTTTGAATACATGTTATCCCAAAATGACAGCTTTTGAGGTTACAGTGAAAATATCAGTAAAACAAAGCAAATTGAATCAAAGTTTTGTATTTTGAAGTCCTTGAACTTTTGGAATAACCCTTGTAGGTACAGAATTGATCGAATTAGTAATAATCAATGAATAGTTCATTCATAAAGGAATGCAAAGTTTTAATCAAGACACCTACAATAGTTTCCATTTGTGAAAACATTCTTCTATTGAGGACAAAGGCTTATTAAAAAGTTTAATGTTATAATGAAGTTATTGAATTTAGTCTTGGATATTGTTATAACTAAGTTAAATCGATGCATATGATGTATTAAAATATCGTAATCATTGTGTTTAATCGCATATTGATTACTTCTTTGGTATTGGACGCAATAACCTGGATATAAAGATTACCAGGATATTGAGATCATTGAGCCCTTTCTTTCTTAAATTTTGAAAAGTGCAGTCAATTTCCAAGCAATTTTGGATAATTTGTGAGAAAAGAATATTATTACTAGACTGTATCCATGGTCCTTTTCTTCTCTAATTTTTTTTATGGAAAACTCACTTTATGTTACATAATCAGTCCAGGCAAAACTTGAAAATATCAACCCAGATCTCCGTTCATTATAGCTTATTTATGGTTTCATTTATGATGTCATATTTCATACTTTATCCTCTTTCTTTTCATCCAAGTACAGTTCTAAAGGGAGTTTAACTCAGTAGTTGGGTTCATTGAATAAAATATTGAATAATTTCATTAAGAAAAATAATCTAGTGTTATACATGCGATAATTGGACCTGTTTATTTTCATGAGAGTCTCGATCATACTGAAATGTGACATTTATAGGTGCCTGTATCAATGGAGAGCCAGTTATAGTAACATTGGTTTGATATAATCATTGTAAATATGTATCAACTGTATCTACATAAATAGATATTCTGGTTCAATATTTGAAATATCTGTATCAGTCAATGCTAGTCTTTGTCATTGGCAAATAATGAAATTATGTAATACATTAAACATTAAAGCGTGCCTTTTTCCTCCTGTTAATGTCAAGAAATACTTGTAGGGCAATGAATGATTGAGAGTGAAACACTGTAACGTTCCTATCATCCTCATTTCAATGGTTTAGGAGAAAGAACTGAATGACTTTGCTACTATAGGCCATCTGGTTTCTTTTCATAAAATTCATACATTGATTATTAAGTGATACGATAAGAAAATCATATGTGTTATCCTCAGAATTTTTGGAAATACTGAATGAGCGTGAGCAACATGGTATTTGAAACATGGGTAGAAGTGGTCAATAGATGGATGTGATGTTACCATGGTAAACTTAAACAATATTGTCTTCTGTTTCAACCTGCTCATCATCTCCGCTGATATTATCTACTGAAGCTTCATTTGCAAGCACTTGTACAGATAAGTAGTTAATTGAATACTTTTCAGAACCCGAGTCTGTGGTTTACTTAGATAGAGGCTTAAAGTCTCCAGTCTCATAGTAAATTTTGTAAGAATGGGCCATTATGACACATAGGAAATTGAATACTATGACAGTATGAAATCCATGGAATTATACGTACTTGAAAAGTATGCATACTTATAGAATTATAGGGTGATGCAAGAATAAGCAATATGAATTATTCAGATATATTTTTCTGAATATGGAATTTAAGTCGTTGAATTTTTGTATCGCCCTGTATTAAAAATGATTGCGGATTTTACTTGATTCACTATATTTTTTCACCTGTACTCACTTGAACCTGCAATCGAATTCAGTTCAAGGATGTCAGATTCATTAGTAAATACTCAGTTTACAAGAAGCTTTCTCGAATTTTTCTGCAATGATTTTACCCCGAAGCAGTGATCAACGTAGCCATATCTAGTTTTCATAGTGTTGTTCAAGGTAATTTTTAAATAATTATGATATTGTAATCTATACCAGAAGAATACTCCAGGCACTTGTCGTCATAAAGTAATCTACCTGTAAAATATCATACGGAAGTGTTTTTAAGGTGAATTTAAAGGCAGAATCAGATCTATGGGGGTGACAAAATTACAAGCAACATGTACAATTGACCTACCAATCTATTCCTTACAATCTCAAATACAAAATCTCCCAAAAGATCTTCGATATATTATAAATCGGTGAAGTTATAATGGATTCAAAGTGCAAAAATGGGTGAAAAAATGTTCTAAATTATTATTCTCCCAAATAATAAGAATGATAACCATTCTTATAGAAAAATAATACATTATTGTAAAAATCTTTGTTTTCCTGAAATAAAATGTGTACTTTAGTTGTTTTTTTTAGAAAATAGACATGAAAAGGAATGACACAAGCCAGATATATTCTAAAATTGAAACAATTTTTTGTTTGGCTGCTCGCTATATCTGATTCTCTCTTTAAGACAGAAAAAGTAAATTCGTAATAATTCCAGGACCAGGTATGATGTTCATTAGTATAAGATACTTGAAAATCAGACATTTCCTTAATTTGAGAGACTAATTCAAAGAGTTTAACCAGAACAAGGTTTATCTTTTGGTGATCCGCATTTGTTTCAACTGTTCTGAAGTTTCAGAAAATAAAACATTTTCTGAAATCTTGTTTTCACTTTCTGAAAACAGCATGACCGAGTGATGTTTTTATTTGGCATGCATATATGTCATGTTTGTGTATTTATTGTTCCCAAGTCTCCCATGTGATAGGGAACAAGGTTGGTAGGAAATTAAGCTAGAATTTATGATGTGTCTAAAACTGGTGTCGATAATTGGCTAGATCCTAGAATAGTAACTGCCGTTACACTATATAACTCTCACTGAGCAGCATTTCAGATTAAAATTAAAACGATGTCAGGGGAAAATAGAAATGTTGCTAATCTTAAAGTAGAACGAAACCAAAAATTCTAATGTTTTGAGGAAAATAAGACTGAATAATATACATATACATGACTACTAAAATACTTTATTTGGGATAAGGGTGTTATATTGTTGGTAAAGAATCATGCGAGCATACTGCCTTGCTTTGCTTTTTTAGATGGTCTTAAATTTTTGCTGTATTTTCCAGTGTTGTTCATATACTCCTCGCCTTATAGATAAAGTCACAATTAACTGTGAATTTAGAAAATTGAAAGGAATCCATTGGATTTATTGCAGTGTTCTAATGTTTTTTCCCAGCATGTTACAGAACATCAATGTAAGACAACTAACTCTCGGTTGCGTATCTCGAATATAGTAAAATTTTATTGCATTGTTTTTCAGGGAAGTGCCTATCGGGTGATGTTATGAGCAATAAATCAAAAAATAATTGTCAACCTGTACTTTGTAGAATGATTATGTGACGATGATGTGACGATGATACTAAAATAGGAAATGTTGATGACGATATTATACATGACCCATCACATCATTCATGACTCACCACATGAACTTTTGTAACACTGCCCTTTAGAGTAATAATGAAAACTTGCAACAAAAAATGTCCTAAGCTCATAAGATTGTTCTTTATGTTTGTATTTTATGTATTTGCAGGAAATGAAAGTAAATTGGGCCACATCACCCGGAAATGCACCAAAACAAGATACAAGTAGTAAGTAGTGCTTTTTTTCTAAAAGTAGGCAGTTTGCAACATCTTTTCACCCTGTTTGCACATCGATATTACATCAATGTGCATAGTTCAGGTTAAATAAAAAATAGAGAGAATATTATATCTCATTTACTTTTATTTATATCTATCAGGCGGCAATAAAACGCCACCTTAATAAAAAAAATTGTTTCAACGTAAGGCCACAATAACAGTGTGTTACTGGACAGCATTTCTACTGATATGCAATGGGAACTTAGAAAGACAGTAGAAGTATCGATATACAAAATATGGGTTGTAAGATAGGTCATTTTTTTGAACAATCAGATTGAAATGAGACAAATATGTAAATAATTAATAATGACTTTTAAAAAATGATATAATCGAACAATTCATATACAAATCATAAACAGTCACGATGCATTACCATCAACAATGTATGGCATAGAACAATAAACACAGGTGGACATATTATGCATCGATTCCACGATTACTCATTGATTGGTTGGCTCTTTGTTGATACATACTCCTTACTGAGATATTTACACATACACTACTTGCTACATTACTTTGTGCAAGCCAACTAACCAAACACATTAACAAATTAAGCACTTAATGGAAACTTCACCCTAAAAAGGTAAAATGACTAGTTACCTTTAAATTATCTCAAAGTATTTTTGAAAAATTTAGCTCTTATTTTGGCAAAGTTTTGCAAGATTTTTGATTTCTTTTTGTTTTATATTTAATCTTGATCACCAAGTTTTATTTTGTGGGTGAAATCCCAAATAGGTTACCATGTTACCAAAACTATTTCCATAACAATATGTATTTGTTGTACATTATGTGCAATGTTGACGAGAATCACTGATGGTAAAAGATATAAAATGGGAACTGAAACTAATACTTTAATACTCCATCAATATTTAGAGCTTTTATGCATTGTTTGATCTTGTTACCTCTGCGGTATCTCTCGTTCTATATCTGTCTGATCGTGTACTGACTACCAATTTGGCCTGCTCATTCAATTGCTGAGTTCTCCCCGTGAAACAATATGAGAAAATTAAATCCGGAATCGAATGAAAGGAATTCAACAATTGTTCAAGCAGCATAAATGCGATGTTATCAGATCCTTTTGAAAGCATTGTCGGTTCATGGTATTTCAAACAATAGATTCACGTAACTAGATGTAATTATGCAAAACCTTCAGAATGGAAGTCTCCATTGAAGAGTCCAACATTAACAATGGACTTATATTCCGTGACACCATAACCCCAGTGTCAAAGACACCAAGATGGCTTTATGGCAGACGTAGACCTCTAAAAATCTAGAAAATTCTGATTTTCTTTTGAAAAATTGGAAGAAGTTCACCATGTTTTAATATTTCTGTACAATTTGAAAAATAAGGAAGGTAGTAACACAGTTGCTCTATCAGTTAAATTTCATTTACGTTTTACTAAAAAAAATATAAAGAAAAAAATTGAAATTGTTTGCAAGAGTTGAGTATGATTGTAATCATTGATTGCGTGAGTATGATCTGTCAATATGAAAGTGTGATGTCTAATGTTTCACATATCTGCTCCTTTTGATAGAGGTCCTCAACAGCTAAACCAATAGTAAAAGTTTTAACACTAATGGGTCAACTATGCAGCCATTGAACAATGTTCCTTAACCTACTACAGAGAACAAATGCGAGAAACTGACACCATTCAGATGTTAAGAAAATCGATGTTTTTGATTATTTGTTTTCAATAAATGTACTAAACATCACAATAAAGTACATAGAAAAGAAAAAATGTTGTCGAACAACCCAACATGCTTGAGGAAAATCTCTTAGTTTGATCTCTACTTAGTAATCTGATCGAGTCATTTAGGGAAACCTAACATCTAGCATTTACAAATGAATAGTAATATGTTTTGTCATTAAATCGGAAATCCTGAATGAAAAATTAGCATCGTCACCTATTGTGTACTATATATATCTTTATGATAAAGCCATTAATGATGTCTAAAAATGCAGATACCACATAGAGATTATTTCAGAATGTGCATAACAGTCCCTATTATGATGTAATGAAACATTTTCTTGTTATTTTCAGAACATTTTCACATATTCGTTGGTGACTTGAGCCCAGACATAGAAACACATCTGCTTAGGGAAGCTTTTACACCATACGGCGTGATCTCGTAAGTATATCTGGTTATCAGAATTTCTCAAATTTTTCTCTGTAATTTGAAATAACTTACTGATTTAGTGGCAGTTCTGTATATCCAAAGTGTGGAACGTATGCCTTGTTCTCTCTATTCCTTCCTTGTCATTCCAAATCATGATATTGAATAAATGGTTTGTTCACGGGAATATATGGACTATTCGCGATAGTTTTGTATCAAGTTCTGTTATGCCCTCTCCTCTCGTTCTTTCCAACAAAGACTATGCAATAGATGTGTGAAGAAGGGAAGGCTTGATGTGGGAGTATTATATTGAACTGAAATTCAGCATATTTGGGAAGTGATATATCAAGAATTAGGTGAGGTATATTATGAAATGAATACTCAACTTGTAAAGAAGATGCAAGGAAATGTTGCCAACTCTTTCAGGAGTTAAAGTGAACTAATTGTGAACAAACTGAAATATGTGCAAAGAATCAAACTATTTATGAAAAATGTGACTTTGTAGTTTATGGCTTTATTTCATTTGACCACCCTGTGTTGCCTCCCTCCAGTTTCTCAAATAACTGTCTGTTAAACACCACAAATTGTGCAAAAAAGACAACAATCTACACAGCAAAGTCCGTGGAACACAACAATCACCCAAACACAACAGTTTGTCAAACATAACACTTTCTCAAATACAACAGTTGCTCAAACACTACAGAATATAACACAGTGTTCTCCACAGGATGTTTTCTCAAGTGGGTGCAAAATTCTTATTTTCACAATTCAGAGAACAATTGGTCAAATATGCCCATTTTTCATGATTTCCTTGTTACCAGGTAGGTGCAAATAGATTTTCAGGTGGGTGCAAGGCTGTTTTAAAATCTCAGGTGGGTGCTACGCCCACTTGCTATAATGCTGGGGAGATCACTGTAACAGTTGCTCAAAAACAAGTTGCTTGAACATAACATAACACTTTCTCAACCACAATAATTTGTCAAGCATAACAGTTGCTCAAACATAGGTTTGTCAAAAACAACAGTTTCTCATATACAATGGAACATGTATATCTGAATACCTGTCTAATCTGAACACTTCCCAATCTGAACACTTTTTTCGGTCCCATTTTTTCCTCCCATTGACTCTCATGTTAAAAAAACTGGAAATGTGAACACCTCCTAATCTGAACGCTTTAAGCCAGCCTCAATGGCGTTCGGATTAGACAGGTTTTACTGTACATGATTACATGTACAATATTTTCTCAAACAACATTCTTTATCAGACTTAATGCAAAACTTGCCATATTCTTACTCTTTAGTAATATTCAATTTATGTTTCTGTGCTCATTCACCTGAATGATTAACCTTCTCTTCAAGTCCATTAGACAATTTGATATCGGGTAAAACTATGTAAAAATGATTTATTTTACATTGCTTGGAACAATATGCAATGTGACTCATAAATGGACTTAAGAGTTGAGAGCCTGAACTAACGCCATAGTGGTCATTAGTTTGTTTAGGAATGGGATTGAAAAATGACAAAGTCTATCAGTTTTCCAAACAGTTAGGCACTCTTCCATAAAATAACAGATATTTAGACCCCACAGTAGAAATTGATAACTTCAAACATTTTTTCAATTGAATCATCATGAAATAGATAAGTATGTAAGTATGGTACTTTCTCCAAATTATTTTTCATTATTGTAATGTTTTCAAGTAATAATTCACCCTGTGCTATTGATCATAGAAAAATTAATAATTCCATATAAGTAGAATGGGACATGCGAATCATAGAATCTGCTATTATTACATGGTATATAATTGCAATTTAGATTATATTTTTGCATGATGGTACCGATTTCGGAATTTACACATAATCATGAATGAGAAATTGATCAATTTTATATTATAATCTTCAATGCAGTAATCTAAACGTATGTTCAAAGTTGTAATTGGAATTACTGAGAAATTATTTTTTTGATGAGACTAGTTTTTTCACGTGGAGTCGGTAGTAAACGAGATTAATCATGTGAAATAGTTGGAAATGATTACAAAGAAAGCTTGCTCTATGACCTATGTCCATTTGTTATTTTTACAGCTAAAGTAATTGTGTCGCCTGTCCGTATTCTATATTTTAGTAAAGCTGTCAGAGTTCTTAATTATTTAGTATAATGTAATAACAGACAGTTTCAATTGATTTAAGTATTGGCGAAAGCAATTCTTGATACGCTATTATAACTAAGACATTAATCCAGATGCGCAAATAGCCCTAATGTAATATGTCAAGAAAGTCAAATACTGTTCTTATAGGATAATTGGGGATCATGTCAAAGCCTAAATACATGCCAAACCACAATGTTTGTTTCGTTTTGAGCCCCCTCCCTCGTCTAAAACTGAAAAATGATTTCTAAATGATTGAAAGTTTTATCCAGTCCCACTCCAAAATAGTCTATTTTCTTTTTCTTTTTTGTTAGTTATGTTTTATGAGAAATCCATTCTTGTTTTTGAATACCATTTATGCAGCTGTTTGACCAAGTGATTCTTTACATGGAAATGGGTTCACTTCATTCTAACAAGAAATGTCTTGATCTGAAACATTCGATTCACGTAATAATGAAATATTAAGTTAACACATTTATCCCAATTAGTTTCAGTATACACGCCGCTACAAGAATCGGACGAATCATAATTTAATTTTAAACGCAAGAGATCTTCCGTGGCATTCTCGGTTCATAGCCTCGTGCGTATTTATCATATTTCTCTGGGAATATTGCAAGTCGTATTTCAAGAGGAAATAAATGAAATCAATGAAACTAACACCTCACTCATTACCACGCTGAATTAAAATGTTTGATTTTTTAGTACTTTCTGATATCCTTGATGACATAGGTTTTGTACTTATATAATGTAAATTCTGTTCCTTACATTAAGTTATGAATTGAATTATTGCATAATTATTTTTATTGATATTTTGAGATGTGTAAATACTATCAATGTCTCTACTTTGTGGAGGAATCAATACAGGAACTTTAGTACTTCATATTATTATTGGGGGCACCTGAATCCATTATGGATCAATTTTCTCCTGAAGTTTATGCTGATCTTGTTTAGGTAGACAGAATGGGAGAAATTTTACTTGTTGTAGTCTGCCTTCCTTAAGAGAGAAAATGGGAAAACAGATTATGCCAAAATTATTTCAATTTTAGAATCTTCTCTTGTGCCTAATTTTTAGAATCAAAACAGGTTGTACCTGAATTGTTTATCGTATTTTTTTTAATAATAGAAACTCATCGTGAGTGAATGAATTTTGAGATCTGATCAATTATGTTTAAACATGAATTTATTGCACAGTATAAAAGTTGGTGTTTTGTATGGTTGAAACGATTCAGGTCATAGCCTATTGCTGTCTTGGGCACTATTCAGACACTTCCAATATGGAGGAAAAGATTACGACTTTGGATTTAATGACCCCGGGGTCCCTTGTGATTGGTGATAAAACATTACTAAGCAATTATGAAATCAACCCACGAGGAAAGTATCTTGGCACACATTTTGAAATACAAAGTTGGGTTGAAAATATAGTTATTAAGTAACTGCCATGCAAAAGACATGCTAGTTGGTATTTAATAAGACATGTTTTAGACAGTAGAAAATTGAGTGTTATGTTCATATAGAGAAACATTTGGACTGCGCTTGAGCTGAGTAGAATTTTGAGCCGGGTCGATCTTTGAATATTTTAAGGCTTTGAGTATATTGAAATATTAGCTTGTATCTCAGAGGGCCAATGGTCCATATCAAGAATAGACTTAATGTCATCCTCTCAATGTTCATTCTCTTATATGTTGATTGGTGGCCTTAAATTCTCAATTTAGAGGGATGTTGCTGCATATGAATTTCATGAAAATTAATTGACTTCGTTTCTGGACTTTGTGGTTCGGTGCAATTTGAATTAATGTTGTTGATCTCTTATGATACAAACCCTTGTGATTATGAATTTTTATGATGCACGATGCATCAAAGGGTTATATCTTTGTTATCTCAATATTTTCAAATTTTCTCCCAGAGATGGTATTAGTGAAAAGGCCATTGTCTCACTGTGTAATAATGAAGAATATTCCCCAAAGATTCCCCCTGGAAGACATCAAAGAGTGATCATCTTGCAAGCTTTGAATATTTCATAGGTTAATTCAAATCCATGTAATGACTGATAATCACGATATACAGAATTAGTTCCTGATATGGATATGAATGTTGAAGAAGAACATTTGCAGGTACCCTCGGGTAATTTAGTCGCTTTGTTGTCAATTCAGTTTTCAAATGTCACCCTAGACTAGATTATTCTACAATTTTGAATTTCTCAGATTTTCACATAATGTCTTTGCTTATTCCAGTCTTTTTAGTGTAATTGAACCATAATATCTACTGCCATTCATGATTCTTAGTAATGAGTTATTACCATCAAAATACCCCAGGTGAAGATACCAAACTCATAAAACATATTTTAGAACAATTTCGCATTAGCCTGTTTATAGGCTATTCTCAAACGTGAAAGATGAAATATCAACAGATGTCCCTATGGGGCTGTATCACTCAGTTTTACCACTAACCATGTATCCTAATGATCAATCTACCTGATTGGCTATTTTAAAATTAATGACTTTTGGATATTGACGATTGCTTGGGACCATTTTGAAAACATGTTTGGGACGCATAAGGCTCGAAACGATGTTCTTGGGATTAGTGAAGATAATGGTTATGCCACCCTATAGGTTTTAAGTGCGTCTGTAACAAGCTTGAGGGCCTCATTTATCTCCAGTGTCTAACAAAAACAATAAATTAATAAGATAATGGAACTATTTTATGAGCTTTCATAAATATATAAATGATGTAGAAGAATTTCATTAGCTTGGTCCAGAAGCCATTGTTTATCTTGGTTTTATATGCATAATACTAGGAAGAAAAATGAAACAAACAATTTAAAACAACTGCGACAGTGGCGGCATTCTTATAATAAGATCACCATTTAGGCTAATTATATGAATTCTGTATAGTTTGAACAGGACTTGTGTTTTGCATAAAATGCCAATTTAATAATTAGGCTATTAAATATATAATTAAGTATATTTATTTATTTATTAAATATTACAGTAAAACCTGAACATAGGAAACACATTTAGAACTACGAAAAGTGTTCACTGCTTAAGGGAGTTCAATATTATATTTATTAGGGATAGCTGTTCACTAGAATTTAATGAGATATATGTTATCTAAGACATGTTTTACTGTATTCACCACAAAAGTTCTATTGTATTTACCTCAAAAGTGTAAATGTGTAGCTCAGTATAAGTGGGATGTTTATTTAAGTGTAAATAGTGTATTTTAAGTGTAATAGATGAATTTATTGTTTCTAAGTTGGTTTGTGTTTTGCTCCCCAGGTGGCGCCTACTGCAGTGTACCAAAACATAAGCATTGGCCAGGCTATGTATGCCTTTATTATCATATTTTATTATCATATTTTATATTATCATTATCTTATTACTTCGCTAACAATCACCTTGAGGGAAAATTCAAGGAAAATGCAAATGTTTTATTTGGTATATTGATACTTGAAATCGTGAATTTGTCAGTGTACTATTAACCTTCTATTAAAATGTGTAAATTAGTGAATTTCCTGAAGTTTCCCTTGGGATTTTTGTTTCCATTTAAATTTTCTTTTGTTTATTTACTTTATTTTTATATTATCATCTTATCATCGACAATGATATTAACATTGTTCATTTTATAATAAGCATCATTTTATCTAATACAGCTATTGTAATAATAAGGTTATTTTATTCTGTCTTCTTAATCATGACCAGTTTATACCACATCATACTTTTATTAAAAATTAAATCATTAGAACTTCTGCCATTTTTTCGATAGAACTGTACTAACATATTAGCAAAAAATGATTAGAACAAAAGTTGAGTACTTGTGTTCTTGTATACTTGGATCGAATCTTGTTCATTTGATATTTTTATGTCACAGTGATGATTGTATATATTGGTTGTAGTCTGTGGTATTTCAGTATGGAAACTGACTAATCTGGGTATTTTGGCAATGTTAATGTTACATGGTTCAGAATTTTTCTATATTTTGTGTTCTGTTTTCAACATCTCACCTCAATGTTGTCTTGTGAATTTTTGCATCATGTTCTGCGAAAACAGAAATATTTTAAAACGTTTTCTTCTAAAACTATTTGAGGCTACCAGTCACCAGGCTAGACTGTTTCGATGTATTTTTCCAATGTTGATTCAAAATCATGAATTGAAACATCTTTATGTTTTGTTCATTCTTTTTCTCTTGTGTTTTTCCTATTTCTCAATGCTTATGTTCAGTGCGCAGAAGGCAGTAGAGAATTTGACTGAATTTGCCACTTCGTATCATAAAATTTTATCCACCTTTCAAAAATGAATATTGTCAAGTGTTCAAGGGGTGTGGGTTTTGAATATTATATATTATTCATTTCTTTATTATGGATAATATTTTGGGGTGAAAAGAAACTGTACCAGATCGCAGCCATTGAGCAAGCAGTGTCTTTTTATACTGCTTCATCTATTTCATTTACGCCAGAAACAAAAAATTTATGTTGGTCACTTTGGCTTGGGATCATATGTTAAACATCTTTGGGAATATGTTCTTTTCCTGGAATAAATTAAACGGTCAGGTTCAGAAAATGAAACATCCTACATTCAAAGTGAATTTTGCAAATTATATTACCAAAATTGAGGTTATTTTCGATTTTCCGCTTATGAACTTGACCTGTTGTTTCAGTGAAACCCTGAGGATTTACCAAGAAATTATGTCACAAGTTTCTATATATTAAGAGAAAATACCGGAGATTCATTCATTTATCAAATTGTTTAGTTAGATGATAGGAAAATATTATCTCTATTTATTCTTAGTTGTTGAATATATTTTCTTTTGTTTTCAGAGACTGTAAAATAATTCGTGATCCACAGACACTCAAGTCAAAAGGCTACGGTTTTGTCTCATTTGTGAAAAAAGAGGTAAGTTACTTAATACACGCTGCTATGGTGTTGCTATTGTGGCGCTATACACCAGTCTTCTCGTTATTATGGTTATGATTTTCCTACAGCAACACATTTCTCTTTTTTTTATGTCACCATCACAGGCTGCAACATAATGTCATAGTCTCCAACTATTTTGTGGACAGTGTTTGGTGTTTGGCTGCTGGCATTTGTAACAAATGGAAGGTGGTGACTTTTTGCATGTTTATGACTTGTTATGGTGTTAATTTGGGAACATAATTTGTCATCCAGTATTTGTTTTATTATGCACCTCCAAATCAAAGTTAAGTGGAGTACTTACTGGAGTACAGGCTTAAACTGTCGTTTAGTTGACATTATTTTGACATTTATTTATTTTTTCTTTCAAAACTCAGACGACTTCCGGCCAGTTTATTCGCTATACTGGACGAAAATATTTGCCCCGGGAATTTAATTTTTATTTATTCGAGACGTTCTTGCTGAATTATATGTAACTTTTGAATGATAAGGGTAATTGTGATTGATTAAGTTCATTTTTTTCTTCTATTTTCCGCCAGTTTCAGATGTAAGCTTTAAGTAGTACTCCAGTTATTAAGAAATAAAACTCTGAAGTGGGAATGTTGCAAAAACATTGAAAAAAATATCCGACCCTTTTTCTTGAAAGGGTCAGATATTAAAAAAATATCCGGCAGTTTTCAGAAAAGAGCAGAGTATTGCCAAATTACAAGCAACTAAGAACCAATCAGATTTGAGTATTTTAATGAGGTGCATAATAAAATGATATAGCACTGCAATAGCAAGAGTATTATACTAATGTTTTTGTGGTGCCATATCATTACTTGTTGAACACATTTTTGCAACTCTTGTGATCACTATTTGAACTCTTGTTTTGTTTCTATGGTCTTGCTGTTGCTATAGGAACTTATTTCTTGTCACTATGGTTACAATATATGTTAATGATTAAAACCATCACATCATTTCATCAATACTGATAACAACAAGCAATAATATATTATATAGAACTGTGAAGTATTGAGTCATGCTAAGTAGTGAAAAGCTGATATAATGAATATTTCATGAAGAAGGCTTTTGTCACTGCGTGCATGCATATGGAATATTCTTCAGTGATCTCACCAGGATTTTTTCTCAGGTGGGTGCAAAATTCTCATTTTCACAATTCAGACCAAAATTTGTCAAAATATGCCAATTTTTCATGATTTTTCTCATTTTCAATTGGGTGGAAATGGATTTTCAGGTGGGTGCAAACCACTTGCTTTAATGCTGGGGAGATCACTGTTCTTGATTAAATCAAACCTAATCTAGGCTATTGTTGTCATATTTTGTCCATATACTAAAACATAAAACAAAATTATTAGTATTTTCATTGATCAACAGAATACTTTTGATCATCATTTTTCACTGAATCCTAATGTGAATATGAAAAGAGATATTTAGTGTACCAAAAAACCGCAATAGGAAATCCAAATACTGTAGTTTTTTATAACATTGCTAAAATGAGAAATTTAGACATTCTGTATTATCAATTTGTAAATATACAATATTCAGTGAGGAAATTTTTTCTTATTAATTAGTTTCACATCAACTGATTTCTTTTTTCCTCTTCTCAAAGAATATTCATACCTTAAAAATTGCTATACAGTAATTAGTTGGAATTTCCTCTATCTATCTGGAAGTTATTCTGAGAGAAGCTCAAATATTTGAACAGGTCCTGCAGAGACAGCTAAATAGAATCAAAATGTTTTTCTAGACATAATAATCGCTATCACATCAAATATAGATGAGCAGATTTTAAATGCTTGTTCGAGCTTTTTGATAGCATGAATATTTTATTGTGGGCATTGGTGCATATCTTATCACGTGGATATATCCAATAAAGGTGCTAACCTATATGTAACACATGGATGCCCGTGGTTGTAACTGACACTTTGTTAATTTGATCCTTTGAATGTTTTATGGTGATGTATAGATCAGCTTCCTTATGGACCAGGTCTTGAGTTTCTTTTTTGAGAATGATGTCTTGAGGTCCTTCGTTTTGGATGATGTCTTGAGTTCTTTCCTTTTGAATGATGTTTTGAAGCTTCCTTTTGGGTGAGGTTTTGAGTTCCTTCTTTGTGAATGATGTCTTGAATTCCTTCCTTTTGGATGATGTCTTGAGTTCCTTCCTTGCGGATAAGCTATTGAGTTCCTTCTTTGTGAATGATGTCTTGAGTTCCTTCCTTTTGGATGATGTCTTGAATTCCTTCCTTGCGGATGAGGTATGCATCTTCTTTTGAATGATGTCCAGAGCACTTTCTTTGTGGACTCCGTATGGAGCCTTGAAAGATTTTTCCTCGTAAACTGAGTATGTTCCTGCATTATTGTACTGTGATATTTTGCTCTTAGTAATATGAATATGTAAAAAAAGTAAACCCCAAACCCTTGCAAGTTTTATATTACGGGTAATTCTTTTAGTATTGGAGAATATTTTGTAAGAGTCAATGGGAGAGGAAAACAGCCAATGAAATACTAGCACATCATCATATGATCTCTGACTTGGAATTCTCTGTGCTTAAGTGATAACCGATTTTCAGTGTTTACATGTAACAGAATATCAGAATTGTCTCATAAATGATATAAAGGGAATGCTGGTTTGATAGTCCTGTATTTTCAGAGACAAATGTAACTTTTTCCACATATAGTTTAAAGGCTTCTACGGGGCTGTTGGAAAAATATTGATTACCAAACAAGTGTTCACTGTAAAGAGGTGTTTACTTAATGCATACTATATGGGTGTTCACATAAGAGTTTTGTCATATTTTATGATACAAGGAATTAAATCATACAAGACATATAAATGTCAGCCAACTGCCAGACTTGAATCTCTGATACATTCACTGAAGCTTGGCATGTAATTTGTTTGGTTTGGTGGCATAGCAGTGTCATATGGATTTGATTTAGGCCAGATATATAGTTTGATTATCATGTTTTGTATTGTATGAGCCATTTTCTCTTTGAGTGCACTACTAAATTTTCTTTCGTTTTGTTTTGCATCATAAACATGCCCCTGTCCACTATATCCTAACCACATGTTTGGGATATTGATTGGATGTATGGAGTTGATTGGAGTATGGGGGTGGGTTGAGTTTTAATGCGAGACCAATAGAGGTGGGGGGGGGTCATTTTGGATTGCCATTGCTGACTCCATCTTGACTTGTCAATCCCAAAGAAAAGTGATTTCTTGTAAAGGCTGATTTCTGGAAGAACTGGAGATGCTCTTCGGGAGATACAAGTATGTTATATTGTTAGATTGTCAAGTCCCAAATGTAAGATAATATTTGGTCTTTATGTTTGACCTTATTTGCAAATTATGATGACATTTAGTTGATTTTTATTATATCTCTACATCCTTTCAGATGATTTTACTCATTTCCAAGTTGGTGAAAATTAGTTTTCAAGGGTGCATAGAAGTGCAAATTGGTTTTTTAAGTGGGTGCAAATAGGTTTCAACGGTATCTGGTCAACTCGGACCCTAGTTAACTCGGACCCTAGTCAACTTGGACCCTAGTTAACTCGGACCCTAGTCAACTCGGACCCTAGTTAACTTGGACCCAGTTATATTTAATATAAATCAGAGGTATTTTGCTATGTTAGAGGTGAAAGCAATTAACTTTCAAAATATTAAGAATATTGGAATAGTTAAAGATATAATTCAATTCATTACTGAAATGTTTAAATAATGATGTTTATGTATATTTCTGATGAGTCAAAATCAGTCTTTACAACCTTTATACTTCTATGCTATTTGCGTCATGTGGGATCAAATAACTCTTTATAATTAAATGAGAATGATTTTGAATGATTTTGATTCATTTTATATTGACTTTATATAGAATTGGAACTATACTATGTCTTTAAAAAATGAATTCAATTTAGCCTGTTGTGTATAATGCTGTTATAATAACTTTGACTAAGAAACCTAATTAACAAATCTTGTATCCTCTGATAAGCATTTAATTAGGGTGTTGAAGTAAACAAAATATAGAGGTATTACATTAATTCCAATATACAGTATAGGGAAATGTGTTAGCGCATTTGTGTTTTAAACAATTTTATTTCCAATTTCATTTTCTAAACATGTGTGTAAAATTACTTTCTGTTTGTCGAAAATCCATGATTATTTCATATTTCAAAGCTTCAAATGTGGAAATACAATGATTAAATAATTTGGTGACCTTAGTAAAATATTCAATGAGTAGGGAATTTGAAATATATTTTGATTTAATAAATCAAAGAATTGCAAATACAAGTTACAAAATTATCAAATATGGTGTTATCGTTTGATTTGAAACTTTATCTTTTACTTTCATTATAAGAAATTCCTTAAAAATCATGGGCTTTCAATTGTTTACAAACATGTTTACCCCTTTTAACTTGGTTTGAAGAATTGAGGTCAACAACATTTAATTCACCTTTGAATTTCTAATTTATTGTTACATACTATTTGTTTGGAAGACAAATTAACTGGTTTCATGTAAAATCAAAATCTTGGTTATTTAATATTTATTCCTACCAGTATATGATTTCACAATCAGGCTGAATGGTTTATGATTGACTCAAAAGTGTCAGAATTATTTTTCACCATTATCAACCATTGTTCTATCTAACAATTATATATGATTAATGTTGTTTTTATATATACCTTATCATTTTAATGCTCAACTGAGGAAAAATATAAAAAATACATAGGTCCAAGTTGACTAGGGTCCGAGTTGACTAGGGTCCGAGTTAACTAGGGTCCAAGTTGACTAGGGTCCGAGTTAACTAGGGTCCGAGTTGACTAGGAACCGTTTCAACTGTTTTCAAGCCTAATTGTCTTAGTGCTGGCACGATCACTGATCTGTCTTTGCTTTCATTTCACTCCATATTGCATATTTTTTGTTGACTCACTAAATGCTGATCCATAGGGACAAATAACAGTTTTATAGATCTTTATTTTTACACAAGATTATGTTCTATTTTCTACAACGTGATGTGTCTAATTCTAAGAGTTCGCGCCTTGTTGGGTGTTTATCTCATCACTTGCTAATTCCACTCATTTCTAATATATTTGAGTTTTGAAACAAGACTCTAGATATCTACACTTTATTTAAGGGGAGATACAAGAGATAGTAGTTGGCAAAATGAGTGTATCAGAACTCAGTGGAAATGAGGATAAACTTATCAATGTATGCTTTGCATGCTGTGTTTAATCTTGTTAAAAGCATATCAGGCAATTAATCCAATGTTTTTTACATATTAGTAATACCATTATTTATTCATTATCTATACGGATAACGCTATTTTCCTCATCCTAATTGTTGATTATAGTTTGCCTGTTAATAGAATATCATGTTTTTCGCTCAAAATTAGATAACAAAAGAGGTATGAAAAGGAATCGATATTACGTGCGTGAATATTTTATTCAAAATCTTACAAAAAGGCCCAGTGTTGTATATTTAAGTTTTCAGGATAAAAGCATGAAATATGCATGCCCAAATTGCCAATACTTGCTCCTGTGATGCTGTTGCTATGGCAATGACTCTGCCCCATCACTTCAATTGTGCATAAATCAATGGACGATTGCTTCCTCAGGTGTTGGTAGATTGTTGATGGAATAAATTCATTTGGATTATAATTCCAATATACCAGGCCGTTTCAAAAGGTTTATAACAAAAACAAATAATAGAGAAACGCACTGAACTATTATCAGAACTATAAACACGTTGATGACTGATAAATCTCTGTTAATCTCCTGCTTAAATGTTTGTCAAGGATATTATCAAATTAAATGCAATAAAATCTATTTTTCGAACACACCGAAATATGAATACTTTTTGCCCATCTGAGTTCTTTCTATTCTATTGACTTCCATGTTATCAGAATCTGTTGTCTGAGAAAGAGGAATGTTTTGTATGGGGATATTGAAGTGTTAATTAGCCTGGACAGACATAATTGATTCAGACTCTTATAGTGATTACAAATCTGCAATGAAGCAGCTTACTTCATTTAACTAATGAATAAAATGTACAATAAGATATTGGACAAGGCTCCTCTGTATATAAGGTAGTCTCCCGATGATAAAATCTCTTAGTGCTATTTAGAATAAAATCTCTTAGTGCTATTTAGAATAATGGCAAAATGCATCTGAACTATCAAGTTTCATTCCTAGAATATTACTTCATTTTTAAAACTAAGTTTCATGATGAGAAACAGGATTTTCAATAAGAAAGTTTGAATTATAGGAATGACAAGGGAGAATTGCAATATTCACCCTTGATATACAAAGCTTACAATTGTGGGCAAGTATGATACAGGAGCAGCACTGATGCATGTTGTAAGAGTTCATTTTGAAGTGAAATTCGAGCGAAATTCCTTTAGATGGGCTTTTAATGAATACAAAGGTTATGATCCCATTTTATCAATCCTTTAAGAACAAGTATCGCTTTTGTTTATATTTGATCATTAGGTAAAAAGGAAGTTATTGGCTTATATCTGGAACAATCGAACTGTTTAGTCACGAAATCTTTAAGGAAGCTATATCTTAATACGATAACTTACATTCCATGCCTATATCTGGAGGTTCTTTCAGACACCATTGTTTCGTATATATGTTTTACGGGCAGTGCAGGAAATTACTAGTGTTTTCTTTCTTACTGTACAATTGATGTCATAAGCTCAATCAATGACAGGTATTTCAAGGGACAATAACTTGATGTGATTATAGCGTTTTGAGGTAGATATGTATTCAATCGTAGCTAATATTGTATGCATGGTTAAGTGTATATACTGTATGTATATTTTTGGAAAAGATGAAATCGATATCGTTTATGATCTTCTTCATAACTTGTGGTTTCTGTATAGTAAATCTAACGACTGAGTAGCGTAACCCAGAATATTGTCTAGGCTACAATTAAACTAATATAATACATTGACAATGACATTAGCATGCTCTATCTAGGTATGTACGTTAGATCATACCATATTGAATTTCATTAATAATGCAACACCCCAAGGCCAAGAGCGTTTAATCATTTTATTTTTTAATATATATTTTTTGTTCAAGTTATTAAATTGAGTATTGATTTGAATAGCCTGTGTACAAAATAAATCTCTGACTCATTGATATTTTTCATATTTCATATACAGGGTATAATATCATGATGTACACACATATATGTGTATGTTGTATGTGTTTTGAATGCATTGTATCATCTTTGGCTTATTTTCAGTTTTTCACAATTTATTCAACCAGTTTTCTTTTTTTATATATTTATATTGAAATTACTTTCATCTGTTGCATCCTTTTGTTAATAAACTTGTTATCTCGGCTTATCTCTCTTTTATTAAAAATGTAAAAAATGTGCTGGTCCTTTTTAGGTTATCTTTCTATTAGCCCATCAATATTACTCGATTTTTGTAAAAAAGTGTGATTTTTTTATTTGAGGGCATTTTATGATAAAACACAATTCTGATGTTGTCATTGATTATCTTACGTTTAATAACCTGTATGGATCAATTTATTACTAAAGTACATAGTCTATCAGGTATGGAAATGTCACATGCTTCGTTTTCAATTATTATCTAATCTCTTTATTGTTTTTTTCTTATAAGAGTGACATATGTCACTTTATGCCTGCTCATTGGAGGTTGGCAGAGTGGAATGAACACGGTGTTAAATTGGCTAAAATGTGCTATGGGAGTTCATTGTCAGTGTTATTACGAACCAATTGTTAAATGTATTCAATGGAGTGTGGAATTAATTCAAGTATAACTGCTTCGGTGTTATGTCTGTTGTCTCAAATGAGGGGTGCCTCCTCAATAAGGCATGTTTTATTCCATTAATACAAATCCATTTCGTGTTTTGCCAGTGTGTCTCAAATGAGGGATATTACTTCAATAAATGAATGTACTTATGCACGTTTTATTCCATTAATAGAACATTGTCCTTGTTGCCAGTGCGGCCTAGTGAGCAATGTTCTCTACTATTTATTATTATGTAATATTAAATAAGATATCGCTGTTATTGCTTTTTATGCAAAGTAGAATTTCTGCAGTAACTGCTGAAATGAAACACTGTTCAAATTGAGTAAACAAAGGGTTGAATACTTGCTATCAATGTCAGATGCAAAGTCAAAAAGTCTCGCTTAAAAAACTTGAAGTTATAATATAGAGTTATCATATTTGATATTATCTCACAATGTTTCTGATTTTGTGTGTTATAGGAAGCAGAAAATGCAATACAGGGCATGAGTGGTGCATGGATCGGAACCAGACCTATTCGCACAAATTGGGCCACCCGGAAACCCCCTGCACCCACCACTAAAGAAAATACAAGTGAGTACCTGTTGAAATTATTGATAATTCATTTTTTTTATCTTGAATTTCATGATCAATCTTTGAGTTTGAGACTATATGCAGGCCCGTAGCCAGGATTTGCCAAGGGGGGTTCACTTTTTGGAAAATTCGAGGGGGGGTTCACTTTTGACAATATGGGTCCAAAAAGGGCCAAAATCACTAAAAAAAGTGCTCAGAATGGTGAAAAACTGCATGATTTTGAAAGAATTTTTGGCCAGGGGGGGTTCGCCCGAACCATGCGAACCCCCCCTGGCTACGGGCCTGATATGTATATTCTATATGAGACTATATGTACATAGATTTACAGTAGAACATGTTATTGCAAACACCTTTTTGAAGTGAAAAGTTATAGGTTTTCAATCGCACATCTTAGAAACTACATTTTAACACCTTTATCATTAAAATTTAAAAAATTAAAATGAAAACCTCCTGATGTGAAAACTACTCTGGATTAAACTTTTAAAGTTTTACTGCACTTTCTAATTTGCCATTTGGTTTTGTTTTGATATTTGAATATGTTTTTGACGAGATACTTTTGACTGGAAATACTGCTAGCGAACAACCTTATCAAACAAACCCAAGCTTTGTAGCATTTTCTCAAATGAAACAATACATCTAGAATAACGTTAATGTCATATATTTTGAAAATTTTCAAATAATATGTATGATTGTACTTTATATCTTGTTATACCAGCATTTTTTGTATTAATAATAATGTTTTTTTTGTTACAGATGGAAACGTCACTTCATCATTCATCGTGAATTAATTGTAGCTTTTTACACTGAATTATATATTTTATCACCCAAAAGTATTGCAAAATGTTTATTTTTTACCATCATGATTAATTCAGTGCACTCAAATACTTCCATTTATTTTTAATATCACTTGCAAATTCAAACTTTTATCTACTTTAACAGATACCAAGCAATGAAGCTGTCACTTTCATGGAACAGTTCATCAATTGGTACTTCATATATTTATGATCCCGTTAAGTGTTCCTTTATGTTACTAACTTTCTAGGGACCTGAAAAATTCACTATATCCTTTTGTAGTACTATGAAAATTCTCATGTGACCAATTTTCAACAAAAAGTTATCGACGCTGATTTTTGAAGAGCATTCCATTTTTCATTATCTTCAGTTTATTGTTACTACAATTTACTATTACATGAAATATTTATGTGGAAATTAACTTTCATTAATGTCACAAATGTAATTTAGGTGGTGAAATGAGAGATTGGTTGTCATTAACAAGATATAATCGTCGCTTTTTCAAAATATTATAACAATCATAAATTTTTCTCAGAATGGCAAGTTTATAGAATAGTTTTCTACTTAGCACCGTTGAAAAAAATATGGATGGCTTTGAAATGTGACATTCCTAGACTTTTAGTTCTTACAGTTATACGGCAAAATCTATCAGTTCAAATGTGGCAGAATATCGTTAGATTTATGTCATGGAAGATTGGTAGACTTTTCACAATAATAAAGTTTAGAACTTGCTCTGAGAAAATATGACCACTCTAATTATAAGTACTGCAATCAATTCATTTATGCATGCTTGCTTCAATTTTAGGAATTTCAGGTGATTTGCAGTTCATTTACCAGTGATGGCCAGACAGATTTGATGATTCCAGGGAATTCACCAATTTTATTTAATTTATTCCCTCCGTACTGAGATCAGAGAATGTCTAATGTACTTGTAGTAATGCTTTGTATGCCCATCCTTGTTTATTGTTTATGTTGACTATTTGAATCATATCAATAACCATATTTATTTCAGTTAACCCAAAGGTGAATATTTCAGCTATATGCTATGTTTCAGATACTAAACCTCTAACATATGATGAAGTGTATAGCCAAACTAGCCCCAGTAACCACACTGTGTATGTGGGGGGCATTACAAATGGCCTAGAAGGTAGAACATGGACACTGAGTTGGCTCAGTCACCACCGTACTGTGTTGTGTCACATATAACCCAATACATTGAGCCTCATAGCATTTCTAGGGGATTTCTTTATTATTCTTTCTGGATCGTATTTTGGGATGTCCAATAAAATAGATATTTCATTATCTTGGGGTGGATATGTACGATTTTGCTATAAAAGTTAGAATCCCTGTTGTTAAAATTCATTAAACATGCAACAACATGGGTTCTTTTTTTGAGGCCCATCTTGCTGTATGGACATAGTAGTTCTGTAATACGTTGAGACCCACTGGTTGTAAAAAATTTGAAAATATTCCCTTGAATATACAGGGTGTTCCATAATAAATCTTGATCATGAGATTAAAGAAGTGCTATGATTAACAATGGCCGTAGGGTTGTATTGTCTATTTTTATATTTCTATAGCTATTATAGCTACATTTAGCAGACTGATGTCTTGTATCTTGCATATATTTGTGTATTATGTTACTTAATTATATTATCGATGTATTCTTTTGATTTTATATTTGCTAGTGGCTTGTTACGGTGGTTTTATAAATATAACCCAATTTGAAACGAGGTCATGTGGGGTTTATTTCATAAAGTTATCCATGGACAATGGATATCGATTTTTTAAGTTCTACATCTTTCACATTGTCACAGGAGCACAATCCTGAAAGATGACAGAATTTAACTGATTATATTTAAAGATTTTTTCCGACAAATGGCACCCCAGTATCTTGGGTATGGACAGTTCTAGTTCAGTTCATGTTGGGTTATGTTTTAACCATAGTTATATGATTGCAGTCAAAGCCCTAGATTATCAAGAAGTATATGAGCAGACCAGTGAAAGCAACCATACAGTGTATGTAGGTGGCCTAGGAGCCGGCCTCTCAGGTGTGTACTCATACACAAGCCAAACCACAGCCTTAAAACAGCCATCCTTGTGTACAGAAAATAGTCCCTGGATTGCGTATAAGTGTTTTGAAATTATCAGGTCCCCCTCCCTCCTATTTGAGTGATGTGATTGGTGTGTATTAACGTCCACAGTATATGCACCATTTCTGGAGCCCGGAATGCATCCTTGTTTGTGATTGGTTGTTTATATTAGTGTCTGAACCTTGCGTGAACTAACTGTAACTGGTTGCGATTTGCCATGCGTGGTATGAGCTCCCCATTGGTCCGTGTATGTACTAACCCACACTTCAGACACGTCCCATCCATCATGGTTAGGTTATACACATCCTACACACATGTTAACCAAAGGTGTATGTTTAAATGCTTTACAGACCAAAAACCATTAGAATTTGAAGAAGTTATGAAGCAAAGTAGTGCGAGTAATTGTACTGTCTATGTAGGGGGCATTATAAACGGCCTGACAGGTACAGTGGTATAAGAGGCATCACTGCAAGAGTTCTCGATGGTCTCGTACAAACATGGCCACCCCGTTACATTAACTGCATGTTGTAGAATAGGGGTCTATATCATCATGGTGACAGATTTCATAACTCCAGGTGCCCATGTCTCCCATTAGTCCATACATATGTGTGGTTTTCAATCCTCATCTTGCTACAAATTTCTCATTCATTTTCTGCTTAAAAATATATTTCATATTTCATCATAATATTTGAATAGACAGAATATTAACAAAATAATACATACTAACCAGTTCCTAGATTATTCTAAAACTTAGGATAGTAGCGTTCTCTTGTAGCAATATTAGAAAGTCTGTACATTAGTGCATTATTATCTCCTTTCAAATCTGACTAACCTATGCATTAATATGCAAAACCGCACAAATATCTCATAAGGTCACATGATACTAATTACTACCAATAGGTGGCATGTCTGTGCGAGGAATCGAGAACTTTTGAAAATAATGCCCATTGTTGTCGGCCATTTTAATTCTACATCGGGTCCCCTGGTGGCGGATTTCTGCACTTATCTACACTTTCTTCTAAGAGGCTTACTTGGGGGTTTTTGAATTCCCCTGAGGAGCCCATGAATTCTACTTTCATAGACATGTATAACAAGTTAATTGCTTGTCGTTAACCCTACAGTTTTAGACGTGGAAATGAATTGAAGCTGGCTTCCATTTTGTCACAGTTGTGGCAATTTGCTGCATATTCTTCAAGATGTTATATACACACAAGGCATGTTTGCATGTACATGCTCGCTACAAGAACACATACACACACAGAAGTTCATTCACTGCCACACATTGATGCTTTTAATGCATGTATGTGTAGCTTATTTATACAAAAAACGCAAAGAGATTTGTGAGAGGACAGAGATTACGCACTGGTGTCCTAAGACTCCTTGCTTATGAACTTGGAAATCAAATAGAAGGGTTTATCATTTTCTGTATTCAACCTACATTTTGGCAGATTTAAACTTGTTTTGTTTATTTCAATGTAGATAGCGCTTAGTGTGATATATGTTGTAACTTTTTGGGATATCTGATTTTGAGAAAATACAAGACCACAATATAGCAATTTTTGTGTGCTATTAACTGCGTAATGTTTAACTGGGGTACAGTCTGTTGAACCTAAAATTCTCCTATTTTATTCAATATAGTCTACAGACCTATTTCCTGCTTCCATACTGGTATATTCTTCAGAAAAGGGCGTATAGTATTTCAAAAATGAATTTTCAAAAATACTAGCATGCTAATAATAGTGACAGTTCTTTTACCATGGGCCCATACTTGAACTCAGAGATAATTCATTTTTCATCCCAGGATAATGAACATTTTCAGAAAGTTTACCCAAGAGTAACTCATTTTTTGCCTTCATTATTACTGGATGCTTGTTTATAATAGGATTGGATCTATAGGTCATAGAGGTCTTGATATAATTATTTAATAACAAGTCAACTTTTCTCTATAGAATTAAATTGGATTCTATGCATGCAAGAGGTCATGAGGAAAACATGATTAAAATTCCTGCTATAATGGATCATTGTTCTTCGTGAAGGACAATGGGGATTGGATCATCGGGGAAATCACTACATTATAAATAAATTGCATCATATTGTCTCTTGGTAACTTTGAAACTTGCACTGAATTGATCCCGCTGCATGCTATCAAACATTACACTCAAAGTGGTCGATCTTTCCTGAAATAATTCACGTGAAAATAACAAATACACAAGGAGAGTTTGATTTCAATATGGATATTTGATTGATGTTTGAAATTGTCCTAAAATACAAGAATATAATTCAATTCTCTTTAAATGTTTGAGAGGAACATAAAAAATGACCTGCATTTGTACAGTACATTTCAGAATTTATTTTCCTTTTATGATTTATTATCACATAAATGTTTTATTTACCCTCCGATTAAATATCTTGCACCTAATACGGAATCACTCCAATAAAATAATTATTTCCTCAAACATGATGGTCTGATTTCGTTTTCTTTATTCAACTTGAATTAATATACACCAGCACAGTAGTTTGTCAGACCGTCTTATAAATCAGGAATTTATATACCTTTTACTCAGCCCCAGGGAGATGAATTTATCAAGATTTAGCTTTTTTTATAATCACAAATTGCGTTTAAAGCTTAAGAATAAATGCATGTACGACTCCCAGAGCGGCCCACTCAGAGGTAATCTTCATTTTAATAAGTTGAAAGATTGCAATGAGCAACCCCGCTGACTCTGTGTCTCTGGAATCTCTCATGTATCCGCAGAAGAGCTGTAAACAACATATTCCCTCGCAATATCACACTCATGATCGATCAGCTGCTGAATGTTTTTTCAAAATGTTTGAACATTTTCGATAAACTACTTTAACCAAATGCAAAATGTTGAGTTAAGATGCAAATAAACTTATGACACCCTGAATTACATGATTTAGTTGAGACATTTTTTATGAATTTGTTTTTGTTGTTGTCATAACTTAACATCATGAAAGTAAGTTATGATGCCTTAATTGCTTCTTCTAATGAAATATTCTAAGTAGAACCATAATACATCTAAAACATGTCTATTAACTTAAAGTAAAAACAACTAGTCCCTTTTTGAAAATACTAATACATTACCCCTTTTCCATAGAAAGAGAAAAAAACAAAATGTATCATATAATTTTTTGAGAATAATTTTAATTATCATTATTATTTTTTTTATTGAGTGTCTAACTTCATAATGGGATTGATATGTTAATCACTCTGGGGGCCAGATAACTTGGAACAATTATTTGATTAATCCAACATATGTTTAGTATTCTACGAGCTTGATCTTAATGTGTTAAAATTCTATTCACTGGTACCTTTTCGGTCACAAGTGGCTGGCTAAACAATAAATTCATTAGTTTTTGAGCCCTGATGGAATTGTATTGACATTGTTCATTAATTTGGAGCATTATAACTGGATTAGTGGCCAACCCAGGTCCCACATGTTAAACACTGCATTGAATGTAATGTTCATCAATTCGATCAATTTAATCCATGACCAGTATTAACTATGGCTTATTTCTGTATGAAAACCCCGTCAATTCAACCACTCTCCCCTTTCTGTAAACCAGGAATCAAGAGCTGGATTTTCATGTATTTACGACACAGTGTAGAATGTAGACTTTGTGTCTGCAAAATTTATTCCAAAATTGATTCCATTCATTTTTACTTTGAACCTAATACGTGCAATTAACAATGTGTGCATCGGCACTTTATAACGAGCATTGACCCCTGGGATACTATAACGACTCCATTGGAACTGATCACCAAGGACATATTAATACAGTTTTATAATCATATGACAAAAACTAATGAACAAACTGGTGAACACAATGGCATAATCATATTGAGGAAACAATACAAATACAAAATTAATATCCTCACTGGGAGTCATTTTTTAGTATGTTTTGTAAAGCTGACATAATCTTGATGCCAAGTTTCCCATTGAAGTCAATGGAGATTTGGGCTTATTTTTGGAGGAAATGAAGTTATAAGTTGAAGTCAACTTTGCATCACTTGGTCAATAAGGGAGTTGCTATAGCTGATAAATAGATGTCACCTCTTGTTTTTTTTTGTTTTTGTTGGGGCGGACTGCCATAGGCTTCAGTGTTAAAAACTTGCAATAGTTACTTAATTTTATGATCTATCAAAAAATGTTAGAAAAAATGGAGAATAAGTAAGATTTCAAAGTTATATAGAAACTCCTCTATTGAAAGACATGACTTACACAACATATACAACAGATTTCTATACACACTTTTCTGGTTTTTGTACACCTTTTATATTATATTATATTTGAGAGGTTTTCTTTATACATATATATGGCTTGGTGTGGTGTTTTTATTATATTTTTGATATTTCTATTTTATAACTTATTTTTATTATTTAATATATTATGTAACTTTTTAATGATTATGACCTCCCCAGTGTGTAATTAACTATAACGTTCTCATTAGTGTGACCATTTTGACTCTTGATAGTAATCAATTCTGATTAATGATCCTCATGATTAGTGGATTAACAATATATATTTAATAACTACCTGGCAAAATCGTCACGATTTTCATGCTTTTATATAAAAGTAAAAATAGTAAAAGTCTCAAAATTGAGAATTCAGAAATACTCAATGGATTATGCTCATATTTTTGATCTATAAAAAATGAATAAGTTAATAGGAAATTTTAGGTGGAATTGAGAACTTTTTTGAGTATCGTGATGATTTGTCAGGAAATGTTTTTAATAAGACCCAACAATGAATAAACAATGCATTATCACTAGCTTTATGAAGATCAAAGCAATAAGTAATGTGATCTTAATGAATTATTGTGAAACCTTAATGTGTACTATTGTTTTATTAATGAAGTATCTTCTATCTTTGCAGAGGAATTAATTCAAAAAACATTTGGAGTATATGGAAATATACAAGAGATTCGAGTATTCAAAGACAAGGGTTATGCATTTGTTAGGTATGTTGATCAAGTATTTCTCGAAGTATAGCTTTACTATTTGTATGTCTGACTAATCAACTGAAGAGCACCATTGTATTTTAATTAGTCCTGCGTCATGCCCCTCGACCGATCCCCCTATTCTTTGTTGTGGTGGGGGAAGGGATGTTATAGAGTCTTGATACAAGGCTCATTTGAATTTGACAAATATTTTTCCATGTATCAATCTTACTTGGATATTACAGTCCAATGCACAGCATAAAGAAACCATGGCCTATGGGAAATTCAGGGAATTTAAATTAATGGAGCATTAGCCATAGCTTCAGGCATTTCTTAAAGCTGTGTATAAAACTGATTATGAGTATTACAATGCAAACCTAATTTTCTGTTCTTGATTATTCATCACAAATTACAGTTGATTGAGCCTAACACACACAACATTAAAAACAATGGTATATTCTTTTATGTACCACTTTTATGTACCATACTAGCATTTCCCATAAACCACTCCCATTATTATAGCATTGGAACATATCCATGTCTGTTTTTTATTATCATCATTATTAATTCTTTGTGTAATGTAATGTTTGGATTACAAATGCATGTTCCCGATGCGAATGAATTTCTTATTTCAGGACAATCATTTGTTTTTTTTGTCTAGAAATATCTGAATTGTTGGATCTTTCATTTTAGGTTTTCCAATAAAGAATCAGCGTGCAATGCTATAGTAACAGTACATGGTACAGAGATCAAGGGCCAAGCGGTGAAATGCTCATGGGGGAAAGAGTCTAATGAAAGTAATGCACCAGGAGGTGGCGAGGTAAGGAAATATTGCTATCAAGCATTGTTGGCCAGGGCTCGCAAAAGATGGCGCTGAGATATTCTAATTATCTGCAATTGGTTAATTGACAATTATTCCATTTGAAAAAGATACATGGGGTTCAATATGAATCTTTTTGCAAAAATTGGTGTCTCTGATATTCTACTTTGCAAGTATATCATGTTTCCCATTGACCCTCACGTTATAAGATCTATTCATTGAAAGCCTTTAGTGTATCCCAACAGTGTTTATGATTTAGTTGTACATGTGTAAATCCATATTACCTTCAGAACCAATTCCAACAAGCCCAGGGTCAAGCTTCATACTCAAGCGGGCCTGGCTTTGGTAATTACCAAATGAGTGGTCAGATGGGATATCCATCATGGTACCAGCAACAAGGGGGCTACCAACAGGGAGGCTATGGAACTCAAATGGGAGCCGCACAAATGGGAGCGGCTGCAGGGCAGTATGGCCAATATGGCTATCCTTACAAGTGAGATATTTATTTTTTGATGTACTTGCATTAGCTTAGATTTACTTTGAAAAGTTTAAAGGCATATTATTTCCAGATATTTTGTATCAATACACATGTATGTAATTTACTAATTTTGGGAAATTTTACTTTAAATGGCTTTTAGGCATGCTCTACTTGTCTCTTGGTCTTGGTATGTCTTTTTTATTTCAATAGATATCATTTGGAAATAAACATACCTATATGATTTATAGTATGGCTGGTATGCAAGGGGCAGGTCCCAACTATGGGGGGCAGATGGCTATGCAGCAACAACAGGCACCACAACAGTATAATGGTCAGCAGCAGCAGCAAGGAATGATGGGATACCCAGTGCAGCAAGGTGCGTCATCACTCAAGTGTCATGGCAACGTCACATGATACAACACAACTCAAAGTTTGAATCTTAAATTTTGTCAAACGTGTGAAGGAATAAAATTATATCTGAAATTTTAAAAGTTAATTCGTAAATGAGAAAGATTCAAACTATTCTCTGAGATGTAACTGCCATGTGACGTTGCACTATTTTATTTATTTCTCCAGTAGCTTTCTGTCTAGCTTAGTTTGAGTCAGCGTTACCATGGTGACAGAACCATGGCGACGCCTTCTGATTTATCAGCTATCGTGTATAAGGCATCACTTTGGTTATGCTCAACCCTAGAAATAGAATCATGTAAATACATTGTTTACACTTAGATTATATGGAAATAAAAAATAGGAGGGAGTATTATTATTATTAAACATCTTCGAGGAAATCACAAGTTAAAAGGCATGACCAGAGTGAGGCTGTATACATGAGCTGTGCATGCTTGCTGTCACATTTTTTTTATTAGAATTTTGTCACATTTCTTGTGTCACGTTTGTTTTAGACTTGAGAATGGATCACATAGATGAAAAATAATCTAAATCAGTGTTCAAGTTCAAGTTTTAATGTTTACGTAATTTTCGATAAATCTTCTATTTTTGAGGTTATTTTGAAGACTCTCGGAAAATCACTTATGGCCCTGACATATGGAACAACAGGTGATGCTATTTCATCAGATGGTTTACTCCTGTTACTTTTAATGCACTCTTAATCCATGGGATCCATTATACATAGGTTCTTCTATCAATGTTTTATCTATCAATTATTTACCACCTTTGTTTCATAGATATACTCTTTAATATGGCTGTGCGTGCTGGAATATCTTGTTTCATGAATTTTTGAAAGTATTTATACATGTACATTTTTACAAGTTATTTATTCAATCATGTACATTTTTACAAGTAATTTATTCAGTCATGTACATTTTTACAAGTAATTTATTCAATCATGTACATTTTTACAAGTAATTTATTCAGTCATGTACATTTTTGCAAGTAATTTATTCAGTCATATACATTTTTAAAATTATTTATTCAGTTGGTTTAATATCAAGAATAATGACGCAGGATGTTTCAAGCACGGAAAATCGAAATTTTCTTCCTGACATGAGTACTGTGGTAAAACACTATAGTAAGAACACTATAACAGTTCACAAATGTAATAGGTGTTGGTTTGCAGTTATAACCAGACATATCATATTAACATGTTGAATATAGTATACCAAATTAGGCCATATTTTACACAGTTTCAAGAACTGCTCAGATCAATAGCCTGAAGTCTCATTATATGCACAAAGTGATCTTGTTGATTTTCTGGGAAATTATTGTACTATTAAAGGGGGAGGGGGTGTTTCTAGGTTTCTGTTGTCTATTTTGAATAACCTGTTTGAAAGAAATTATCAAACACCACAGTTTGAAGTGTAAGGTCTAGATCAACTATAGGTTTTTACATTATCCTGGGTGAAAACAAAAAAAATTATTTTGAATTCTTAACAAATTGAACATAATAATTACATGCAATTCAAATTGTTGCAAATATCTTAAAACTTACCAGAAAATCTTTTTACTTACTCTGTGTATACAATGATATATCAAAGGCTGGAGCTGGGTCACAAGTAAGTAAAAAATAAACAGATCAACAGAAACACTCCTTTCAAAAACATCAAACGAAATGGTCATGTCATGTACATGTACATGAATTGTTTTATCTTTTGAAATATTGGAAGAATGGCTTCAACTTTGTTTCTGGATGCTGAAGTGTTTTGAAAGCCTTGATCTTAAATTCTATTCAAAATGACGTCTCTTTTGATGTTTATGAAAGGTTCATTTGAGACTCGTTACTTTCACCTATTTTCTGTAATGTTGTATTGTATACAGGTGAAAGGAATGGGTCAATACCAAGAGTCATAAAAGCGAAACAATATCAAACTCAAATCAAAGAATTCTCAAATTGAAAATCAATGAATAACATTATCAGGTGGTGTTTTACACACAAAAGCACATTAAAAAAACTGGGATATTGTAGCATACAAGCACTTCTAGGTCAGACAAACAAATTATGTACATATTAATATGTTACATGAAGACACACAAACATACCCCGCATGGTTCAGTTCTTATGCATTGTATTAAACATTACATAATAAATAATCAAGAAGATGTCTATATTTTCAGGCAAATAGGTAAACACTTCTTTATTCCAATTTCCTTTATTATTCGTCATTGATCCATATTTTAATCCATATTTTAGTATTTTCTAGTGCTAATAGAAAACCATCCTTTTGTAATGGGAAATATAATAGAATAATAAAGTAGCTTTGAATTGGCATATTTGTTAGAGATGTTTTTAATAAACCATTTGACACCATATTTCTCTTCGTACTATTATAATTGCTTATGATCGTGGTCACATTTTGCTTGTAAAAATATTAACACTGTATTTCGTTTTTTTTTCGGTACAGGTCTGTATTCAGTACTCATACCCATATAGGTATGTTGTTTTCTTAAACATCATTTTTATTATTACATTTTTATTCTACATTTTTACACATTTTTATTATCTTTTTCTCTTATTCACAGGCTGTAAGGTAAACGGCCCTAAGGTTTTGTTGTTATTCGTGGAGGACACAAATACTCAAACTTGTATGAGTAGGAATGAGAAGTACTCAACATTGAGTAGAAAGAACAAATTGCATATCCAGCTTTGTCTCGGTTGTTTATTAATGAACTTGAAAAACTGAAATATTCTGTGTCAAAAAATACTTTCCAAATAAATCATTGTTTTGAAGGCATTTTCCAAATATGAATACTTCTCCAAACTTCAAAACTTGAACTTATTCAGACACTTTAAACATAGTTCATGTGATGTATCAATTTACATGTACTAAATACAACATGACATCATTTATATTTTCATATCTTTGAATTGAGTTGATTCTGTTGAATCTATATGAAATTAGAAGCTTGTTCGATTCCCAATAGATGCTATATGAAAGTGAATTGTAAGTACTGAACAGTAGCGATTGGTGAGTAAGCGTGAAGTGTGAAACGACAAGTGATTATTACATGAAGGCGGGAGATCATATGTTAATATAAGATACTGATAGCTTAGCTCTGTGTAATAACATCCACACTACAGGGCTACATATGTCAAGTCTAAGCGCAGATGCAGCCTATCACAGAGCCTTATGCATCAGTCACATTTGATCTACAGCAACCGAACAGCAGCCCTAGGTTCCCAAAATCAAGAGAAATATGCAGTATAAATATATAGGGATAAGCAGTACAATGTAGATTCTCTATATCGATTTTGTGAAGCTACGGCTGCTGTATGGCCGCCATAGAGCAAACGTGACTGAGGCTTTAGCAGCCTTCTTGTCCAGGACTCTTTGATATGGTGTAAAGAAGATGAGGGCAAGCTATGTAGCTCTGTGGTTGTAGGGTGTGTGAAGATATGACATATTGTAGATAGTAGAATAGACAGCTAACATTTAAGTCCTATTAGATATATCACTTAACATGATGTAGTTAATATTGAAAGCAGATATCTGAGAGAACAATAATGTGTTGCAATATAAAAGCAGAGATAAGAGTTTCTAAATCATCTGAAGGTTTTTTAATGAGAATCATTTCGACTCTTAATCCATCATTGCTTAGATATATATAATATAATGACGGTATATTGTGTTAGTTCATCAGTAATCATTTATTTATACATGTAATAAGCTTAGGTAGTGTTCTGTGTTTGCAAAATACAAAAAATCATTTTTTTCATGTTTATTAATGTTTGCTTTTTCATTTGCAGATGATTACCAATAACAGAGGGGCATCTAGGAGATTCATCAGATATAGCCATTCACACAGTAAACATCATGGCAGACAGGGACTGACCTATAATGTTATGGAAATTTCCACTGAGAATGAATGGAAAATTCCACTGGTTCAGATGGAATTTTCCACTGCAGTTTTATCACTCCTAGCATGCAGAGCACTGGAAACTTCCATGGCTAGCCAGCAAGGCAGACTATCTATTTAAGAAAGGCTGTGGAAAGTCTTTAGAGCAAGATATAAATTTGTAAAATAGTCTTGACTGTACAATGAAGATTATAATAAGCTATTTTGCCACCGGGCTGGTGAAAAAAGGTGGAGGAATGTATCATACAGAGTAAAATAAAAACATTTGTAAATAGGGGTATACAATATGTCCTTGTTATGTAGTTATCTGTAGTGTTGTGTTGTACAACTTACTGTGCCCTATATTAATCGAAAAAAGCATATAATGTGTAAAGTAAAGCACCTAGTAAAATATTGTAAAGCAGTGTACAAAGTATCTGACTATTGCCATATTGATAATGTTAAACCATGGGCTCAGGGCAGTACATTCTCTGTTATAAAACTCCTGCTGAATCCAAAAGATATTTTAGTCCAGTTTTATTTCTTAATCTTTATGAACATTACTGTTAGAAGTACAATAGTGATGAAAATGAAAATCACAATTTTTTGATTGACAATCTCAAAGTTTTGTGATGCGAACCTGGTCCAAATCTCGATTTAAGTCCAATTGCAAGACATTTTGATAATATTTGTATGTGATTGTTATTTTTGATGAAAGTTAAGTATTTCATGAGAGACATATTGCAAATGTACAGGCAGAACATCCATTTTCATTTCCATTGACTTGTTTACTACCAGTTTTATACCTGAATTAGATACAATTGACATTTGTTATGTTTTAGAAAACTTGTGTAAAATATTTTGAGAAGTGACTGATCGTTCTACAAGTTCCAATTAATAAAGTAAAAGTTGTATATTTTCATACATTTTAAATGTTACGATATGATTGGGAGTTGAAGCCTTCTAGATGGTACTCTAGAATACTCAATATAGGTTTCAAAAATAGGATCTTTTTGTTGTGTGATTTTTGCAAAATTGAAAAGGTGCTACCTTCTTTTATGCCTAGACTTGGTTGTTAACTAGAATGTGAAAATTGTTGTATTACCAACTTGAAGCAAAAATGACCCAATTACTGATCCGAGTGACCTGTGTAAATATTTAAAACAAAGTATAACTAAACCTGCCAGAGAAACTGCCTCTAAAGCTTCCCCTTATATCCCAAATACAAGACATATTCCAAAGATAGAACAGTGTATAGATAGTTGATTTAGCTAAATGGAAAATTCCACTGGGTCAACGGAATTTTCCCCTACAGTTTTGTAACTGATGTATTTGATATATAAGGGGTTGACAAAAAATCTGGCTTGTATCAATAAAAGATGCTTGAAATATCAGAATATATCACCAGTGTACTATAGGAATAACATAATCATGAGCAGGTTGCTGTAAATTATGAACTTGAACACTAAGTGTTGTAAGAGTTTAGAGATGTTTAGAAGTAGGTGACCACCAGTGTATGCAGTTGCACCACCTTGCGGAAAGTCTCATGGAGGTCACGGAAATCACAACTCCATTGTATTTCCCAGTCTATTGAACATACAGCAAAACCTGTCTAATGTGAACATAATTAGGACCAGCTCACATAATATGAAATAACTTGGGGGCTGTTATTAATAACATGAAGTGGATCACATCCCTGTCGTCACATTCTAAGGGAGTTATCCAGTCATACATTTTCAGCAATGTTCACACATGTACAGGATTTGCTGTAAATATGTTATATGCTTTATAGTTTAGGTGTTGAAATGCTTGTTTTGTATATGACAGTTAAATTCCTTGTTCTATGTGTATTTCCAATGCTTCACTATTCCACGATGACCCCCATGACATTTTTTGCTAGTATGTTGATGTACAGTTATGTAATTTGTATAAAGAGATATAACCCATATAGTAACTATACGGTATAAAGTGCTATACTTTCCAAGTGATGCTATAAATTGTTTAATGAGGAAACCTTATAAACTATGTATGTACCCCAAGGGGTGCACATATATCATGATGAAATACAAACATTAAACATGTTATATGTACAAATTCTTCAGCGCAAAGTTAGCTCAACTTGCTGTGTATCTTTATTTATTTGAATTCCGAATATGCCAAATTTTTCATTTTATTCTTAACCTTTAATATAAATAAGTATAGTAGGGAGAAAATAAATGGTATTAGTGGCTGGGGTCTGTTGATAGATTATGAATTAATGTATTGATGAGCTATCCAGTAATGCCTGCTTCATGTGGACACTTTTTTACTGGCTTAACGTATGTATATTTCTTTGTTTGAACAGTTAACTTTAGTTTCAATATGATGTAATGATTTGCCTCCCATATGATGTCAAATAGAGGGCAGGGTGTTCACATGCTCAGGTTAAATTGTACATGTACATACAATCTTGACTTGATGAGGTTTCATGTACAATTATAAGTTTGTGAATGCATTAAAGCAACAGCCACTCACTTTTGTATGGTAAAGACCTCATTACATGTTTGGACCTTAAAAATAGTGCCATGGTGTCATATGACATCAGTATTGTAAAACCTATTAGGCCTATTTATTCATTTAGATTTTATCGGAAATTATAATGAGAATGATATGCACATAAATGTTCAAGTTTAAAATGTAAGAAGGGGTAAATATCTGTCTGTCAACACCAACTGTGTACTACATAGCACCAGTGGTTCAATATTGCACCATGTACAGCCTGTCATAAGCAGTTAATCCTTGTTTCTTAACCAACTCAAAATATCATTGTTTTAATCCATATTACAACTGATATTGTGATCTATATTACAACAAATATTGCGTTTGGTATTTGTATTATTATTAACTATTCTTGGAATACTCAGGTTACCAAGGTTACTGTGAGCAAAGTTTCTATTAAAGTGAAAAAGTCCACATCCTATTGGTTAATATCGTTTTCGCTCTTTGTAAAACGGGTTGTACAGGGTGATCAGTGAGCACGCATCTAGATTACACAGATCACAAGCAGCAAACCTAGTTGAAGTTGTCCGCCATTTTGTGTTGCCATAGCAACTAGTCATCTGCTGTGAATAAGCTAGGGTGAAGTAGAATGTAGTGCAAAAACCCACTGGGAAAAATAAAGAGAAACTATAATTTGTACATAAACTACTCATGTTTACTGTCTTTTTATTATATTTTATTCACTGGACTCCTTAAAGAAAATATATCATATTGCTACACAAGTCTCAGTTGAAATGGATAGTACATGTAGCTAAGACTCTCTTTGAGGCTATTTTGGAAATTAGTATATCAAGTCAACCAAGTGACAGTCATCTCAACAGTCATCCTGTGAAATAGGTATCTTCATCAAATGCAATATTTCTAGGTAAATGCACCTATGACATCAAATGTATGTGGGTTCAACACATCTCTGTCAACTTTTGGAGACTTGTATTTAGACAAAGATGAAAGAATATTTCTAACCATGGGTACATAGTTTATGTATGCCATACCTTTAAATTATCACCATACCAAGGTTGTATGAGTCACACCTAGTAATAAATGGAAATTGCTATATGGCTCCACTCCTTTTCCATAGACTCCAATCTCACAATGGCTGGTATTTAATACTTCCTAACAGTGACATGATAAATGGAACTTGGTCAAAGTCATCTGAATACAATTGCAGTTTACTGTCTTGAGTTTCTTCCATGGTCACACAATTTGCCAACCAAATATTGCCCAACAGTTAAGATCAGTTAAAATAAACATTTGGAATCCCATGTCGCTAGTTCCGACTTGATAAAAGCACTGGAAGAAGGGGACAGTTCTTTCATTTTCACCACTATTTAGTGTTGTTTTGACTTAAAAACCTCACCTAAACCTTTCCTGTATTATTTGGGAACATCGGAATTCAACAAAAGCTTTAAACATGGATTTGCATGAAAGCAGTAAGAGCTGTCATTGATTTGGGTTTTCCCACTTTGGGAATATTTCTCAGGTTTCAAAGCCAAATGTTTGCTACATCAAATAATACTTTTTCAAGAGTATATACACACTACCCTACCACGTGACCACATTCAAAAATGATACAGGGTACAGTTAAGTTGCAAATGGAGCGGGTATTCTCTATCTTTGTCCATTGCACTTTTCTGCTAATAATACGTTGCAAACTGCTTGATTGTATAGTAGAACACTTGGAATATATGCAAAATCTAGTATACCTTCAGAAATATGGAAATAAACAAACATCCTCCATTTGCAACTTCACTGTAACCTGTATCACTTATAAAGCAGTAAGGCCACATTATGGGCATTAGGTAGGTTGATAGTATAGTATAAGAGCCAGAGCAAGTACTATTCATATTCAATGAGTTAACCATAAAATACCAATCAAACTGACAGCCGGCAGTTGATTCCAGTGAATGCTGGCTCAGTATTTTAAAGATTACGATTTCACTCAGTTTTGACCATCTGCTTCAGTTACTTTTTGTCATCAGGAATGAACACAATTAAAAAATAACAAACAAAATGATCACATTTTCAATGTTAGTTATATTGCGTTAAATATTTTTTCTACATATATACAAGCAGGTAGGCTTGTGATTTAGCCTGTTGTACAGATGATTGATTTTTAAATGGTTTATGCTCCAATGATTTTCCACAAATTATAATTAATATTACATGATTCCAAGAGACATTTCAATTCTTCACTGGCACCATTATTTACAGTGATACATATTATATTGAATGATTTTTTGACATTCATAGAAAATTGACAAAGTTGAGAAAGTATTATAAGTATTGGGGTGTATGAATGTATTATCTTTGAACTTGCACAATACATCACTTTCATCTCACACATTCTCTCATACACACAACCGAACGCATTTTCCTTTAATCATCAATTCTCCCACTTTTTATAAAAAACATACTGTAATTACACTCTCACAAAATACTATTATGTGTTGTAACATGAAAGATGGATAATGGAATGACATTGGTAGACCCCATACATATGTTTTCTATATTAATTGTCACAAAGTCAATTCAATAATCTAATGACTTCAGAACTACTACTCTCATATATTGATGCAATAAGGTCCAAAAAAGTAGCACTCCTACAAATGCTATGAAATATTATAGCGTATCTCCATCCCTCAAAAGAAAATAATCCATGTGCAGCAACACCTTAACTTGAACACCTCAAGTTAAGCTCACGTAATGAACACTCCTCGGTAATCAATGCTAGTCAATGCACATGTACAGGATAATACCAGCAACATGTACATTACTATGAGTGACTTTGAGCTGCATGTTCATGTCACCAACTATGTTAATTGGGGAGTATCTTGTGTATTTATTGGCGTCTGCTCCTGAGCCTTCTGGTGACTATTTTATGTGGGTCTTCTGCTTCTGCCATTGATGACATTTCACTCTGCAAGAGCAAAACAAACATTAAAGAGATCCTATACAAACACTCAATTAGTGCAGGAATATGATATGAAAATGCAATGAAGAGAGATGACTCAACAAAGTTTGATATTTCATACTTCTGTTTGGTACATATTCAAAACAAGGCATTAACATGCAAAATGTCACCACCTCCATTTGTTACATACGCCGAATGCCAGACATCAACTGCCGAACTATGTCCACAAAAAGGTTGGAGACTATAACAATATGTCATGAGGCATGAACAGCACAAAATTTCACCACCGAGTAAGCAATTGCAAATGGCTACAAAGAGTAACAAGTTGTTACTGATTCCAACACTGATCACCAACACCTAACTGAATGCTATTCACAAAAAATGGTGAGTGTAACAGAGAGTGACATAATAGAGGAAATTCCTCAACAAATATCCAATTAAGAATACAATAATCTCTACTCACATTAGGTGATTGATCAAAAGGTTTATTTAAATCTGTTGCCATTAAGCGGCGCCTTCGCTTCTTTTCTGTGGTATTGGGTGCCACTAGTGGTTGACTGCAAGCTGTGGGTGAGTGTTCGCCTGAAAGGTTGACCTGGACAAGCTCATCAACGTTACGTTTCTTCTGAGCTGAGGTAGGGGGAGTATCCAGATCTATCACATCAACTGATTCTTCCTGAAACATGTAGAGAAAGCTGAGAATAAACCCCTCGACAATTTAAAAAAAGTAATAGGGAGGGTCTATGGCTGTGTTACTATCTGGACTAATTTTTCATTACTTGGCTAGATGACTCTTTAGTATTTTACATAAGCAATACAAAAAATAACCATGTGGGACTATTTTTACTTCATTCAGTTGGTTCCTCCTATGATGCTTTAACTAATTCAAAAAAGAAAATATCAAAAAAGTTGTGGAATATTCAATTAAGTACAATTCCACCTTATAGGGCCAAATGATGAATTCAATCTAGTTATGGAACTTGTGCAAGTAGATTTTAGCTAATTACATTTTTTATGTTTTTTCAAGCTTTGATAATTTGCACTGATATACCCTCTTATGGGTATCTACTCTATTAGTCTACTCGTACCAATCCTGTAGATGTGCTACTAGATAATAAAAGTAAATAAATTAAACATAATAATAGGAATAAACAAACCTGTATTGCAAAGAATGAATTTTCATCTGTTCTAGTTTTACGTCGTCGGTTTGTTGAAGGGCGACCTGCTCGAGTTGAGGCACGAGTTGGTTTCTCGCTTGATACTGGTTGATTCTCTATGCCCTATAAATCAATACATAAAGTGTGAAAAACATCCTCTAGTTAAGTTTTTTAGCAGTTTGCTGCAACAAGTCACGATTCTGGAGATGCCACAAGTCCATAATCATCTCATGATTTTGAAGTAATTTGTATTTTATTGCACTATCTAACCAAACCCCTTTTACAGAACAGCGAATGATTAGATATTTCTATCAATATGTATGAGCTCTTATCCCATGGTTACAAGGATATAGATCGAATATCAGGTGAAGATATATTTGATATGTGGATCAAGATATCATATTTTAGCAAAAAATCCCCAAACCATTGAATATCACTTCTCAAACCATCAAATATCCCTTCTCAAAAAGTGATATTCGATGGTTTCAAAAGTGATATTCGATGGCTTAGATTTTTTCAATAATTTTTTGTCAAATTTTTTTTCAAGATTTTTCTTTCACATTTTTTTTTCAAACATTTTTTTCGCTGGGTTAAGATCTCCACGAGATAAACGGACAATCCTATGGTTTTTCAAAAATATAAATTATACTCACTCATGGATATCAATATCTTCACTCATTCGCTGCACTCACTTAAAACTATAGGATATTCCTATAGTATTAAAGTACATTGCAAAACCTTTAATTCTTCTTTTGTGGATTTTTGAAGTATAAGTCATACTGTATGAAAAATCAAACCTGAGTGTCAGTATCACTAGATGTCTTCCTATTGCGTTTGGCCCTGGTGCCACCACGTTTCTTCTGGACAGGTACAACAGGCTGTTGGCTTGTCTGGACATCAATCTAAATCATTATTAATAAATATATATTTGATGTTTCCATGCAGGATGGAATAATAGTGGACGGAACATGAAAGAAATGAACAGGCTTAGAGGTCAAGAATTCCAGATATGTATATGATAAGTATCAAGTTTTGGCCTGTAATAATGACTGTATAAAATCAATGACTCTAGATTCCAATGACAGAATCAGAGGGGACACATTAACATTGAAAACTGAACACATGAATGTTAAAATCATTGAGTTTGAAGTTTTAAGGAATATAGCCATAACAAGGAACGATACGACACAAAACAGAAACTGAAATCGACACTATTTTTGTAAAGTTATTCTTCAGTTATTCCAACTTGATACATTCAATTCATACTATTGGTTTATTTTTGCACAAGTTTCAATCATTTTTACCTCTGGCACTGAAGTAATTTCATCCTGGAGTTTCTTGTTAGCTTCTTTTAAGTCAGAGATAACCTCATCTTTGGCAATTTGTGTCCTCTCTAGAAGTATCTTGCAATCCTTCAGTTCTTTACACTTATCCTGAAGCTAATGTCATTAGCATATAAGTCCATGAAGCCCTTTACATTAAAGACTGCAAAATCTCTATAATTTACCAAATGCCTCAACTGATAGACATAAATTCTATGATTTATGGCCCAATATATGACCCAAATTTTTATTCTGTTCACTGTTAAAAGACCAAATACTCGATTATAGACCAGTAAATCAATTAGTAATTGGGACGTCACTTATCATATTAGAATTGAATATAAGGTCATTTCAAATCACTGATTTATGATATGTTGAAAATGTTTACAATAACGCAAGTTTAGGCAAAATTAAATCTTTCACAGCATCTGAAAAATATGGTAGAATACAGGTTCATTATGGTATCTACTTACTTGTTTGGCTAGAAGTTCCGTTTCTTCAGTCTCACTTACTGATGGCACATTGCGACGTGAACGTCCACGACGTGATGGGGCCTTCTCCAGCTCTGATTGGAGGGCTTGGATGATGTCATCCTTCTCACGTAACTGCTCCTAAGGTAACATATACAAGAGTTATTTGATGAAAAATGAGTTTCGAAACCTCCATAATATTCTTATTCAGTGAGACTTCCTATATCTCTTATTTGTCCTATGTTCCAACATAAGGCAAAGTTTGTTAGTTTCAATATTTCTTTTACAAAAGTTCAAGAGAGAGCATATGTTGTGTAAGTTTGACAAAGTAACATTCCAGTCACTTTAAAAACAAGCTCCGGGCTATATAACTTACTGCAAGACTAGATTCAGAGTCTGTATCTGCCGAGCCTGTTTGAGAGGCAGACTTTAGCTTTTCAATCTCTGCATCTTTCTTTTTCATGATCTGTTCCAAGCCCTGCACAAGTTTGTCTCTGTCATGGCGGAATGTGTTCAGATCGTCCTCTAACTTATTTATTTGGTCATCTTTTTCCTGAATACATAAAGATTTAACTAAGGCTTAATATGCCACCTGTTTAGCATGTAACTGATGAGCATGATGAGAAAATTACCATTTCTCATATCAAAGCTTTATGAGATGAATAAACACAAAGAGATCACACGTCTCAAACACATGACATCTGGTTATGACACAGCGACACAGTGTTTGAGTTTTTTCACAATAGTTTTAATTGACAGATTTCCAAAAAATGAATCATTTCAGTGAAGTACAGTCTTTCAATTTAGTAATTTACAAAGTTTTATCTTATTTATTATATTTATTAGTTTTTTATTATCTAAAGTGTACCTTATTTTGGGTTATTAGAGATGTGATCTTCAATTTAATCGTGTCTTTCTCTTTGTTTTCTGATTGTAGTATCTGTTTGTGGTCCTCCTTGGTTTGCAGCTTGAGGTTTTCAATTTCCCTGCGGCTTTCTGATACACATCAACAATGAAAAGGTTAACAAGACACATAGTGATAAATAGTGCACTTTTAAGAGCAAAATAGCCACAATCTAATCAGATCTTAGTATTAGTTCACTCTAGCATCTGTACAACAAAATTCCAGTTAATCAGAAAAGTTGGTTTCCTAGAATATCGATTTACAAGATTTATGAGTCGCCCGTCAGTCTGCCCTAAAAGCTGCACAAGAAAATATCAATAAAGCACTTTTTGAAAGAGCGATAAAAATCTAATATGAGAAATGGGAGAAGTGAAAATTTAATAAAAGAATTCTACTATAAAGTCCCAAAGACAAAGGCACAGTATATAACCATTCTGCCATTACAGTATTTCCAGTAAGTTAAAACAATATACTCTACCAGATAATAATTTTTCCAGTTCTTTAAGCTCATTATTGGTGTCCGTCATATCTCTGTGAAGGATGGACTTGTCGTGTTCCAACTTGGTGATGGTGCCTTGTAGAGTTTTCACTTGGGCCTCCAGCTGTGCTTGCACTGAACTCATCTGGAGGATAATAGTACATGTAGATGAAATATAGGAAAGGAGACACATGCCTTGGAGTTGTCATATGCTTTAAATACAATACATTTCCATGTATTTTTGTTAATGCAAATTTTACATTGAATTATGGTCAGAGAACAAGTGACTGAATATTTCAATCAAAGAAACTCAGTCTAAAATTGTATGTTTTTTTTTATCTAAAGTTGTAGAATTTCAAATGCTTACATCAGTCTTGGAGACCTGAGCAGCTTTCAATTGAACCTCTGTCTCTTTGATTCGCTTGCTGGATTCCATAGTGTTCTGCTGCAGAGACATGTGCCTTTCATTCAATTCACCAAGCTCTATAGGTAATAAAGCAAAACGACATCAAACATAAAACAGCAAAACCACATCATACGTATAAGAGTACAATGTTCATCATTCTTTTAAAAACTGTGACCAATGAACTAAAGATAGGAAATTGATGCAAAGGAGCCAATCTTATCATTATCATTTTTGTACAGCAATGTAAACATGTTAGCATGTAACAATGAAATAGCTACAGGAATTATACATATATTCAGTTTTTTTTATCCAAATCCAATGCATTGCATACCTTTTGTGATTTTTGATATCTCCTCATCCCTCTGATTGAGTACATCCTCCTGTAGCTGAGCAGTCTTCTCCATCTCTTCCATTGCTCCTCTTAGCTGGTTGATCAGCATCTCATTAGACTTGTGATCTGCAAACACATTTGTGATCAACAGTCTTATTACCTATATAGTCTTATTGTAGGATTTAAAGCCTGGGATAAAATATCCTTTGCTACCAAACCAATTTTATGAAGGGCTCCCTCCCCTTGTTAAACTGTAACAAATATTGAAGTTAGATTATCACTTCATTAGACTTGTGATCTACAAGCAGATGTGTGATCTACAGCCTTATAGGATTTAAAGGCTGGGACAAAATGTCTTCCCTGAAAACCAATTTCATAAAGGCTTGGACGACCTTCCTCTTGTCTGTTAAACCATATCAAATACTGAAGTTAGATTATCACTAATCAACGTTTTTATGTAATCTCATTATGTACATCTACATAAGATTTTACCTTTCAAAGCAAGCTCATATTTGCTGCATTCTCCATCTATCTTGGTCATGAGATCTGTAATTGTAGTATTCTTGGTCTTGATTCGTTCTTCTTTCTTCGCTAGCAGTCTCTCCAGATCAGCTAGTTGTTTTTTGACAGAATTGTGCTCTTCTTCTAACTCTTTGTATTTGCCACTATTACTCTCAGCCTCTAGCTGTTGAAATATAATACACATAAGTAAGTGATATGTCCCCTTTATAGAAGGAAGTCGTTAATATGGCCAACTGTTTCAAAGAAAGAATTCAGATATTTGAAATAACAGTACATGTAGTTTCTTAATGTTCCATATCTAGAGTACAATTTTTACAGATTTGAGTACAATTGAATAGTGGTACTGGGTGTTACAGATTTGAGTATAATTGAAAAGTGGTACTGGGTGTGACAGATTTGAGTACAATTGAATAGTGGTACTGGGTGTGACAGATTTGAGTACGATTGAATAGTGGTACTGGGTGTCACAGATTTGAGTATAATTGAAAAGTGGTACTGGGTGTGACAGATTTGAGTATAATTGAAAAGTGGTACTGGGTGTGACAGATTTGAGTACAATTGAATATAGTGGTACTGGCTGTGACAGATTTGAGTACGATTGAATAGTGGTACTGGGTGTCAGAGGTTTGAGTACAATTGAATAGTGGTACTGGGTGTAGAATTCAGATATAGAATTCTACAATTTTTAGTTTGTGTCAGTATAAAAGAAGGCTCTAGAGAAGATCTCCTAAAAAACTTGTAAATACAGAAACATCTACAATGTTCTATTTCACGGTTGTAAGCAGAAATCATGTGCATTTCTATATAAGTAGATTTAGGTGCCATCAATGCTTGAAATGACATAATGCATGGTACAGACATGTACAGATAGCATCTCAATGATCTCCCCAGGATTTTATCTCAAGTGGGTGCAAATTCTAAATCTCACGATTTAAACCAAATTTGGTCAAAATATGGCTTATTTTCATGATTTTTCTAATTTTTAAGTGGGTCCAACCCTGTTTTTAAAATCACAGAAGGGTGCTGCGCTCACTTGCTTTAATGCTGGGGAGATCACTGCACCTACATATACCTTGGATGAGCTGATAGTCTCTTTGAGTTGTGTATTTCTCTCATCTAATGAGCGTTTAGCTTTCTCAGATTCACTTAATTTATCTTCAAGTTCATTCAGCTGTTTGTGCTGCTCTTCTAGCTTCTGTGAGGCTTCCTGAAGCTGGCCTCTGAGGTTAGATTCTCTCTCTTGTGTCTACACAACAACACACAGCATTGGTTAGTTGTAATAACAAGCTATACGAGGGGTGATCAATAAGTAATGGACACTTTTTTACGCGGTCAGGTCTGATGCAAAACATTCATGTAAATAGGTGTCCATTAATTATTGATCACCCCTCATACGTTAGTTGTAAAGAGTATAAGGAACAACACAAAAAGAACCCTACTGATGGAACTGTCATGAAAATTCTCAAGTTTAAAGAAACAAAGTATGGAAAACTAGAATGGGTTGAAAGAAAGCGTGAAGTGACAAGACACTACGTATACTACTCTACCTTATCAACTTGTTCCTGTAGTAAGGTGGTTTCATTTTTCAGCAGACTGATCTGTTTGTTATAGGCATCAATAGAGCTTTCTCTGGTGTCAAGGTCATGTGACAGGTCATCAAGGTACTTCTGTTTCTCTGCTAGAGCACTGGACATTTCTTTGGTGCGGTTAGTTTCTTCAGCAATCTTTGACTCTAATTCTCTAACCTTCACCTTTTAGGGAAATAAAGTGAATGTTGTGATTTACAAATACCACCTAGCAGCAGATTCAATCAATCAATTATACTGCTGTCCTACAATAACTTTCTGGAAATCAGTGAATACTAAGATAGAATAAAAGATATAAGGAACTTTAAATTAGATACACATGCATTGATTTCATTCAGACACGGCACCCTATCACCCTGTATTTATTACACATCATGTTGATAATTCTATATTTAAGAAAATGGAGATTAAACCTTTAGATTAATACCTGGTAATGACCACTTTAGCCCAAAATTGTGTTTTGTTTTATTAAGCAGTGAAATAATATACTATTGTGAATCAACACTTCTAGGATAGTTTACCTTAAGAGTCTCAATTTCATGGCTGCTGTCTTCAACTACAGCTTTCTCTGCATCTTGTTTGGTCTTCACAACTTCTTCAAGATCAACTATCTTTGCATCCCTTTTAGCCAAGACACTATCCTTGGACTTTAAGCCATCTTTAAGTTTCTGTATGGTCTCATCACGGTTTGTCAATTCTAGTTGTACGGATTTAATAGCAGATTCCAAGTCTGTAATCTTGACTTGTTTATCTTCTATAGTCGTCTGGAGTTCTTGTAGTTTATTGTTTTTAAGACTCAAGTCAGTTTCCAATGTATTCTCTAATTCAATCGCATTTGTTTCCTTTTTATTGAGTTCATCTTTAAGCGCTTTACATTTCACAACAAAGTCAGCAATTTGTTGATTAAGGGAGTTTTCAGATTCTTTTAATGTTGATATTTGGGATTCAAGATTGGCAAGACTTGTTTTGTAGTCTTCGGAGTTCTTCTCAATATTGTTCAAAGCTTCTAGTTTTAACTGAGACTGCATTTCAAGATCACTTTCTAGTTGATTTATTTTAGATTTAAGTTCTTTCTCTTTCACTTTACATTGTGAAAGTTCAGTAATGCGATTCTGTTCCGAATCCCTGGCATCATTTAGTTCATTTGTTAGACTGGTCAATTTTGCACTTTTGTCTTTAAGCTCATTAGTTTTCTGAGCATATTCCTCTAAAGTTGATTTTAATTGTTCATTAACGACTGCAATCTTTGATTCAAGTTCATTAACTTTTTCTTTTGTATCATTCTCACTTGATGCCAGGTCTTTTTTTAATTCACTGTCAGCATCATTCAGTTTATTCAAGTCAGTTTCCAACTGTACATTTTGTTTCTCGAGTCTCCTACATTTATCACTTAGATTGTCAAGGATGTCTTCAAGTTGGGTGACCTTCTCTGCAGCAGTGTCAGCTTTCTCTTGGGCAGTTTTAAGTTCTGTTTGAAGAGACTTAACATTCACTTCAAATTTACTAGCTTTGTCCTCGACTTCTTCCTTATACTGAACCTCGGTATGAAGTTTATGTTCTAGGTCCCCAATTGTAACATTGAGCTCCTCAACCAGGGATAAGTTTTCATTCGCCATTTCTAGAGACATTTCTAGTCCATTTACTTTGGAATGAAGTTCATCGATTGTATTACAATATCGGTGTTTCTCAATTTTTTCTTTTTCTAGTTCATCTCTGAGCTGATCTAGTTCATATTTCAGACTGTCATCAAGTTTATTTGATGTGGTACCATTGTTAGATAAATCCTCAAGCTGGGTAATCCTGTTCTCCAATCTCTTAACATTATTCCTACATTCTTTGTGGAGTTTCTGCTCATTCTGAAGCTCAGATTCAATATTCTGAAGCTTTGTTTCCATTTCCTCTGCAGCATTTGCAGCCTCTTCAGTAACACTAGATAGTTTCAATTCAAGTTCCTTCATTGTATCTGCATTATGTGTAGCAGTTTCAGACTGTTGGGTCTCTGCTTTGTTTGTTTCAGCCTCTAGTTCTTTGATCCTGGCCTGCAGTTCTTGGACTTGACTATCCCTGTCAACCATTAACTCCTGCACTCTGAATGCCTCAGTTTCCAAGACAGACATGTTGGACTTTGCATCACTATAAGCTGCCAGCTCTTGTTGATATTGCTGCTTCAGTTCAGCAAGTTGAGTCTCCAATGCAGCAATGGACTGCTCTTTCTTGCCTATCACAATTTCCAAATTGCTCTCACCGATTTTCTTCTTTGTGATCTCTTCATTAGCTTCATCGAGGTCATGAGATAGGACTTTCACAGTTTGCTCAAGTGATTCAGTCTTTTCCTTCATGGCACTTAATTCATCTTTAAGATCTTGACTGGTATCAGTGTATCTCCTTGCTTTCTCCTCTGTATGTTTGAGCTTCTCCTGAGTTTGGTCCCTCTCCTTCTCTACCTCTCCAAGCTTTGCCTCCAACTCCTCTTTGCCAGCCTTCATAGCTTCACATTTTTCTTCCAACTGCACATAGTCTTTATATTGATCCTGAAGGGAGGTTTCTGTTTGTTCCAGACTGTCTTTTAGTTCCTTAACAGATGTTTGCATCTCAGATAATTTCATTTCAAGTTCCTTTTGGGCTTTTTCTTTCATTGACAGTTCAGATTTCAGATCAGATATTTCTGAATTGTTTTTAACGAGAGTTTCTCCATTTTCACTAGCCATCTCGAGGGATGTTTCTAAACCAGCTATCTTGGCTGGAAAAAGAAAATATTTACATACAGTTTCTCGGTAGATAGTTGGAAGAGAAATGTATCATTGGATTTGCCTTGAACATTAACTGCTCAATTAATGTCTCCAGCAGCACACTGATCAATGCCAACATTTTTATTCAAATTCAACATCACCTATTTTGCCAAGCCTAAGCCAAAGTAATTAGGCAAGTTCATGTCACATGCTCACTTTTTCCAAGTCTCGTTTCAAAACTCTAACATTTTGATTTTTCATGGTTTAAACTGTATATGAACCACCAGATCATCACTTCTGTCTTAAATCAAAGATCGTTAAACAAGTTTCATTAAAGCTGTAGTTAACTATGAATCACTTTACTAAAGAAATATACCTTGAAGTTGTGAGATTGTTCCATCTCTGTCCTTTAGACTGGCTTTTAGGCTCTCAATGTCTGTGGTACCTAGCAACAAAGCAAAGAGTTTATACTTTATGTACTGTTTATAAAAAGAGAAATATTAGTATTTAGTACATTCAATGAAACAATTTCAGATACTCGTGGTACATAAGTCAAAATTATTTAATTAGAGGAAAACAAGACTGACTTTAACTTGAAATAATTTGAACATCCTATGATTTTCACGGACTGCAATTTTTGCTTTCTTATTCCAAAATTATGCTGAAAGTATAAGTACCTTGTGTAATCTGTTGTTCCAGCTGTGTACTATATGCCTTTGCCTCTAGAAGACTCGCTCTTTCCTTTACTAGTTCAGCCTCAACATTCTCAACTTCCTAAAATTCATATACATTTAAATTTTTCTAAATATAATTCAATTTCTCCATTTCCAGACAATAAAAGGTTACAATACAAATTCAGTGTTCCTTTGCAGGTCATGGGCTTATAACGGAAAATGCTCTTATTCATTGTAGAACTAATTTTACCTGTTTCACATCAGAATGTGTCATGAATTTACTGTTCTTCAAATCCATTATTAAGATCATAAAATTTCTAATTAAATGAGTCTGAATGATTTACAGTGAAAGAGATGTCCAAATGAAATATAAGATTACCTTATATTTTTGTTCTAAACTTGAGTCGAGTTCAGCGATCTTTGCATCTTTCTCCGTGACTTCCACTTGTAGATTTTCAAGTTTTTGGTTAGCTTGTGAAATAGTGCTGGTTAGGTCAGATAGATGGCTCTGTTGAACAGTGCCCTCTTTTGATAGTGCGTCTGTTAGAAAAGAAAAATAAATAGATAAGTAATTATTCTAAACCATGCAGAAGCTTACAATAAATATAAATAAAATACACAAAGGCTCTTATTCTAATTCGAATCTTCTGTGCTTTATATACCAGGTCGTTCAATAAGTTCTCATAATTTTGCTCTCATTTTAAGAGTTTTTTATATTTTTCCATGAAAATTTCACAGACGATGCAGAATGTATCTGTGTAACAACTCTGCAAAGATTATGTATTAATTCTAATGGTTGTGGAAATGGCGGTTGCTATAGTAACGTCAAAAATCGGTAGGCGGGGCAACTTTATTTGATCGTAAAATCCATGGATGTAGTTAGATTTCATCTTGAAATGTCATATGTTTTATCTGAAAGATTTGCAACCATAGAAACAGGTTTTGACATCAGTGTGAAAGATGCAACTTTTCTGAGTATAGTTATTACTGTGACATCACATAAAAAGGTATGACATCACAGAAAAGGTTTCAATAGAGAGACCCAAGATGGCAGCTGACTGTGGTCTTGTGAAAAGTCAAGATGAAATTCAAATTCAAATCCGTAGTGTGATAAGATTTTGTGTGTTATCCAAGAAATCAAGAGGAGAAACAATAAAAGCAGTTCAAGATATTTATGGAAAGGAGTTAATGAGCACACCTACCATATACCAATGGTATCAAAGGTTTGGTTCAGAGGGAAGAAAATCTGTGATGGATGAAAAACGGACTGGCAGACCGGTAAAAGTCACCAACCCAAAGGCTGTTGAAAGAGTTAAGACAGTTCTAGATGATGATCGCCGCATCTCTGTACGGGAACTTAGTGAGAATGTGAACATTAGTATAGGTAGAACACACTTCATTCTGAAAGAGAAGCTTAAAATGAACCTCATGTGTGCTAAATGGGTGCCAAAGGAGTTAACTAGTGACCAGAGAGCCCGCAGAGTTGAGGTTTCCCAAGAATTTCTAAGACGATACCAAGATGAAGGGGATAGTTTTCTTCAACGAATTATCACATGCGACGAGGTGTACGTCAGCTATTATGAGCCCCTTGGGAAGAGAGCATCAAGTGGTTGGAGAACTAAGAACTCACCTACTCCCATTTCAACCCTGGCAAAACTGACCAAAAATGACGGCAAGGTGATGTTCATTGTGTTTTTGGATAGCTCTGGGGTGCTGCTTACGCATGCAATTCCTGATGGTCAGAGAATAAACAAGGACTATTATGCAATGGTAAGCTTATTCATTATTAATAAATTAATCAATATAAGAGTAAAAACATTAAATCAAATCAAATTTAAAATCAGATTTGAACTATAAAAATGGTTAAGTACAAATGTTAAAGGCATTAGTATCCTATCCTACTGACTATTTCAGGTTCTCAAGAGGCATCTCAAACGGGCCTTCTCAAAGAAACGCCCCCTCCTAGAGTTGGCGACAAGAATATTTCATCAGGATAATGCCCCGTGTCACCGGGCAGAACTTGTACTGAACACCATAGGAGAACTCGGAATGGAAGTTCTCCCACAGGCACCATATTCACCTGATGAAGCCCCTTGCGACTTTGGCGTGTTTGGCCGAATGAAAGATGAGCTGAGAGGTTTTCGATTTGCATCGACAGAAGATTTGCAGAATGCAGTCCAAAATGCTCTCAGAGCTAGATTTCCTGATGGATTCCATAAAATCTTCCAGGATTGGGTAGAACGTCATCGAAAGTGTGTCGCATCCAATGGACATTATTTTGAGCATTTAAAGTAGGAATAGAAACATTTACCCCATACTATTTCATGGGATAAATGGGACTACATGACATTAAAAGACTTGTTACTCTCCACAATGTTGAACTGAATTATATGCCACTATGACGTCAAATAATCTGCCCCGCCTACCCATTTTTCATGTTACTATAACAACCGCCATTTTCACGACCATTAGAATTAAAACTTAATTTTTGCAGGGTTGTTACACAGATACATTCTGCATCGTCTGTGAAATTTTCATGGAAAAATATAAAAAACTCTTAAAATGAGAGCAAAATTATGAGAACTTATTGAACGACCTGGTATTATCACTACCTTCATGCAAAACAGAGAAAATATTTTTAATAAAAATATATATATTTCAATCTTAAATATATATAAAATTCCAATAAATATTAATCTGCTTGGCAAAAAGTCCATAAAACGCATATAAAATCAGAAATAAAATCTTTAAAACTCCAAATGGCTATCGTCAGTGTCTTTACTTAAAAGCTTTAGCAAGTGAACGACGTTTGATTCGTCCCCTAGTGTTATAAGGTCTACTTGATGTGCCAGTTTTAGGTTTTACATTTGAGTCGGGGCACTCCACTATTTTCCTTTTTTTAGTCGTTGTTACAATGGCTCTTCCTGGAGATTCAGGTGAAATTCTCCGTTGACGTTTTTGTCCATTAATTTTTACTTGTAAAGTCGATGCCTGGCTCATGCGTAACATGCTCGCTTTTGTTTGTCTGACGCCTGTTTCTTTAGAATGACTCTCAACCGGTCTTTTACCCAGGGGTTTACCCCTGTTCGAATTGATGTTTTTCTTCAGAGATATTATTCGCCTTTGTTGTGTATTGGAGAGGGACATGTTGCTAGGTTGCAACACTTTGTTAGGGGTAGATTCTTTGTTTGGGGTAGAAGTAGATGGCAGGGTACTGACATTTACAGTGACATCACAAGTCAAGGAAGATACATCCTTTAAGTTATCATAATGTTTTTCAGTTTGTGGTATGATGGACGTTTCCAAACGGAATTTGAAGACATCTTTGGGGCTCAATAGGGGACTAGGCTTTGAGGTGCCAAAATTGAAGACAGGTTGTTTTGGGGTACCTGGTTGGGGAGAGTCACAAAACTGTAGACCCGGAATATTGAAGTCTTTAAGTAAAAGGCTCAATCTTGGTGGTGTCTTTATGCATTGATCTGCATATACTTGACCACTTGGCACCAGAGCATATTCTGGTAAATCATCCAGTATATTTGGTAAGTTATGTGCTCCACTTTGTAAGTTCTCTATATCAGTTTCCCTAACACTATCATTGTGTATCACATCAGGGCCACTTTGGAATACATCAGGGCTAGAGGTTGATAGGTTAAGCTGTACAACTGGTGGAAGTGATATAACCGAGACCTGCTTTGATATTGACTGTTGTTTTAAACCAACTAGTTCTGGTGTCTGTTCTGAACTAGATAGCCTCGAGTAGAGAGCGGATGCCATTCCAGAATCACTAGACTGAGATATTGGCCTTGATTGTCCATCAGATGACTGAGATATTGGCCTTGATTCTCCATCAGATGATTGAGATATTGGCCTTGATCGTCCATCAGATGATTGAGATATTACCTTTGATTGTCCATCAGGTGACTGAGATATTGGTCTTGATTGTCCTTCAGATGACAGATTTATTGGCCTTGATTGTCCATCAGATGACTGAGATATTGAATTTGATTGTCCTTCAGATGACAGATTTATTGGCCTTGATTGTCCATCAGATGACTGAGATATTGAATTTGATTGTCCATCAGGTGACAGACATATTTGTCCATCAGATGACTGAGATATTGGCCTTGATTGTCCATCAAATGCCAAAGACACTGGCTTTGATTGTTCAGATGAATCAGATACCTCCCTTGATTGTCCAAATGATGAAGACACTGTTTTTGTCTGTCCACTACTTGAATGCTTTGAAACTTGAGAAACTATCTCACATTGTTCAGATGGTTTAGGAGTAGACTGAAATACAGAGCTAGTCTGTCTCATGGCGTCATTCTTAGTTTTTCGTGACTTAGATATACGATTAAACAGATCAATTGAATCCTTGACTGTAGATTTGTTTTCAATCTTATGTATGATCTGTTCTGTAGATGCCTGTTCTGCATCCTTGAGCTGGATAATTGGCCTACCTTTACTCTCAGCTAACTGTTGTTCTAGAGTTCCTATCTGAGTGTCCTTCTGGCTGATCTTCTCATGCGCCTCTTCAACTCCAGCTCTCAGTTCTTCTACTAACTTTTGGAGCTCAGTCAGTGCGCTAGCCTAAAGTACAAGACAGATAGGATATCTAATCAAATTCGAAGTTTTTTGATCAATAACTCTTAAAAACACATAAATAACACTTATATCATTTATTTCTTTGTTTAACTTACTGATTAGAACCTAAAGAAAAACTATGTAATGGCTTTTGAGCCAGTAAACGGGAAAATATTGTGACAGATTCTGTCCACGCTCTGCAAACACGGAATCCTAGGGGCAGTGATATAGACATGTGTCTTAGCCATGATAACGCCCAGTGAGATCTGGTTAGTGCCCATGATAGTAAACAATATCACAACTTATGACAAATTATATACACAAATATGTTTGGAAAATGAAGTATTATTACATTATTATGAATATACACAAGTTTAACTGGCTATCTTGCTTATTACACTAGTTTTTCCCAAAATTAATAAAGAACAATGACCCTCATGCATACTTCATGAGTAGTGAACTCACCTGTTCCTCTATGGACTTCTCACCCTCAGCTATAACAGTTTGTAGTTTTGAGATCTCAGATTCCTTTTGTTGGAAGGTCTCCCCAGCTTCATTCAGAGTCTCCTGTAGTTCTGCATTCTCAGTAATCTATGGCGAAAGAAAACTTTATTGTAAATTCATAAGATTGAATGTAGGACTCACTAGATTAAATTTTGAGATAGTTGAACTATGGTGAAAATGTAGTGCTCATAACTGTATGTGGAAATAAGTACTAATAAATGGGACACTTAAATAGTTTGTTCCACGTGTTTTGCAAATGCATAAATAACAAGTCATTAACATGCAAAATGTCACCACCTGCCATTTGTGGCGTTGACATAAAAAACAATGGAAACGACAAGGCTAACAGACTGAGATGAGATGCAATAATATATCTACTTACTTGAGCTTGAAGTTGTTCCTTGGCTTCAGTAAGTTCTCTAGTCAAGTTCTTTATCAGCTCATTGTTAGAGATCTGACTTTCATCTTCCTGTTGATTGCCTCTGCTCTGCTAAACACAAGGGATTTAAACAGTTTTAAAGCATTAACATGTCCACTTGGTAGGTTACTGCAAATGGTTACAAATATGGAACAATTTATTTTAGACATCAAATGCCAGTAACAAACAAGGCATTAACATGCAAAAAGTCACCACCTGTCATTTGTTACAGATGCCATTTCTTAAAGACACTGACCGCTTTATGCTTAACAGGGATTGAATTTAATAAGACAATATGAAAAAAATCAATATTATCAAAATTCAATTGCTATAGAGACTAACAATGTACAACAAAACTGCCTATTTGAGTAGTTTACGTAAATGGCATCAACAATCGAGAAAACAGCTCACAAAATGATCATCTGGTCGTGTCATACTGTCCAAACAACGACAATACAAATTTCTACTTGGAAAAGCTATAACTGTTCTTGAGTATAAAAACATTAAAGTACAGGGTGACCGGAAAAAAAGGAGACCATTGAAATAGGCAATATCTCCTAAAATAGACTAGTGACATCAATGAAATTTTGCATACATCAGGACAGTTCTATGGAAATTTGTTCCTGAAAGTGTCAATACAAGCAGTCAACTGGTTCAGGAGCTATGATCATTTACATAACATGCTCCAAATAGGCGCAATTGAGACCAACGCAGAGCTGGATACATTTGGCAAATACCCTTACATATTCCGACCTTGTTATGGCATTACATTTAGCATTTATTGCCACCTTTAGGTCAGCAATTGTCTCAGGATTGTTTTGGTACACATTGTCTTTCAAATTGCCCCACAAAAAGAAATCAGGTGGATTCAAATTTGAGGTGTATGAAGACGAAGCTTATCTGACCTATGGCTTCTGACTCAGTGGTCCCACTCAGTTACAGTATCATCCTAAGGAGGTTTTGGGCAGCCCTTGGTTTCCATATGGGATTTAATTGTGCCATATAGTGGTTTTAGTAACATGGCACTATGCCCAATACCTAAAGTGACTCTTAAGATTGGGTAAATCAGCACTTTGGCAACAGGATGATGAACCACATGTCAGATAACCCTTCATTGCCATTACAGCCTAGACTTGAATCCTGCTGATTTCTTTTTGTATGGATATTTGAAAGACAATCTATACCAAAACAATCCTCAGACTATTGTTGACCTAAAGAAGGCAATCACTGCTATATGTAATGCCATAATAATGCCATAGAGGGCAGAACATGTAAGGGTAGTTTGCCATATGAATCCAACTCTGCGTTGGTCTCAATTGTGCCTATTTGGAGCATGTTATGTAAATGATCATAGCTCCTGAACCAGTTGAATGCTTGTATTGAAACCTTCAGTAACAAATTTCCATATAACTGTTCCAGTGTATGCAAAATTTCATTGATGGCACTTGTCTAGTTTAGGAGAAATTGATTACTTCAATGGTCTCCTTTTTTTCCGGTCACCCTGTATTATATTACATTAATAAGTACCTCTTTCAATGTCGCCTTGAGATCTTTAATGGCTTCATAGGCAGCTGTCAGTTCCTTCGCCTGTCGTGCCTTGCCTGTTTCAAGCACCTCAATCTGATTCCGTACCTGAGTAACAGTGTTTTCCTGGAAATTGTTATTTTTCGTTATAGCATGTTTATTACACATATGGAGTGATCTACATAACTGAGTAACAGTGTTTTCCTGGAAATTGTTATTTTTCACTACAAACAGCATGTTTGTTATACAGAGTGGTTTCAATTCATGTGGAACTGACTCATACAAAGAAAATGTTTTATCAAATATTAAAGGGAGAATCTGATCTAGAAGATGGGCTTTACAAAAAATGTTTCAATCTTAGAATATTTTTGGCTTATATCATTCCCTGTCATGTCTATTTTCTTAAAAATCCCTGTGAATGTATACAAAGCGCTGTCTTTACCGAATCAGATGCAGATTGCGCATTGTCCAATTTTGACTGCAACTCTGCAACAAGGTCTTGGGCCTTCTTTCTTTCAGCCTCTGCTTGTTGAAGTTGTTCTCTGGTCTGTGAGAGATCGGCTCTAACACTAGACAGCTGAGTCTGCAGTTCGCTGTTATGCTTCTCAGCTTCCTAGAAATAAACATTAACTTTTTTCAAGAATGAAATGATCTTCTTTTGATCAAACGATGAGGAAATGACGAAACAAAGAAGCAGATTTATTTTAGATTCACTGCAACTCTAGCTCAGTGTGATTTGAATCAAATTCAACTATGATCTTACTTTGGTTTGAACACCATGTTAAAGATCACATTTGGGTCTATTTTGCATAACTGTCTTTTCAATGTGGACATTAGTTACTTTGTGAAAGGCAAATCCATTGCAGGAATCAATCCACATCTTTAAGAATAAGACTATCTAGAAGACTGACATACCTGTACTTTTACTTTCTCTGCATGTAAGTGAATACTGGACACATATTCATCCTCATCATCTTCAACAACCCTAGCTCTCTTCCTGGACTTCTTCACTGATTGTGTGTACATCTCAATCCTCTTCTCTGCCTTCTCCTCTATCAACATCTGCTCTTCACGGAGGCGGTCACTACAACATGGTTCAATTTGCACACATTAAAACATAACATAATGCGAGTCTCCATCATCCATATTACACAAAATTACTATCTTATTTCAATGGGTATTTGATTAAACAAACATATAATTCATTTGATTTTGACAACCCCTCCTTCCCTGTCAATATGAAACCATTCCCATTGATTTATATTTGTTAATCTGACCGATAGAACAGAATAAAGAGTATGCTTGATATGAATTGCAGCTTGCAGGAATACAAGAAATTGCTGTCTTTTGATGGAAGTAGATATTTGATGAAACTCTTTGGGAAGAAACATCAACCATTTCGGCCCAAAGCTTCTGTTCTTTTACTGCTGTCAATCCCCCTCTTCATTTGATAATACATGTTTTTGAAACAAATAATAAAGCAAAGTCATTGTTCAAAGAATAAATGTAATAAAATGCCATTGATTTCCCATATCTAAATAAAGCCAATCTTCAAAACCTATAGAAATATAACCAATTTTTTTTATTCTTCAAAAATACTCAGTTGTAAACCACAATCCATTATTGTATTGAAGCAGCATATCAAATAATAAAACATGGCCTTCACCCAAATTTCCTATTCCTGATCTATACATACCTAACTGCTAATCATAGTACGTTAAAACCTAAAATCCAAGACTGACAGTGACAAAAGTAGACAATATTGCATAATATGAATTAGAAAATTCATTCATTCATCTCCCCAGCATTAAAGCAAGTGGGCGCAGCACCCACCTGAGATTGTGATAACAGGCTTCCAACCACCTGAAAATCCATTTCACCCACTAGAAATTGAGAAAAATCATGAAAAATTGGCATATTTTGACCAATTTTGGTCTGAATTATGAAAATGAGAATTTTGCACCCACTTGAAAATCACTCTGTGAAACTGTCATTCAAACAATAGAGGATTGTGAAAATAGACCTTCTTCAAAGTATGAGATATTTTGTTGATCAAATGTCCAATTATCATAAAATATAAAACTGTTATCACCCTGTGTATTAACTCACTATAAATATGCTCAAATTCTCAACAAAGTATGACTTGACAACCCCCCTCACACCTCACCTGTAGCTATTCTCTATCTCTACCAATTGATCTGCCATCTCTTGACAGACCTCATTTCTAATCTCAACCTCTAGATTCATGTTCTTCCTCTTTTCTTCCACCAGTTGGTTCTTCAAAGACTGAAGGAGCTCTATCAGTTTCTGTGTGTGCAACAAAACAGAGTGAATGTTATATTAAAAACAAAACAGATATATTATTGATGAAGAAACAATATGAGCTCAGAGTTCACCATATCATGTTTAAAGAGAGAATCAGACCTAGTAAGCAAGCTAAACAAAGAGTTGAGATCATAAGAAATAGATTGGAATGCCAATTGTACATGTTTCTTGCAACTTTGTCACCCCCTATAGATCTGATTCTGCCTTTAACTTTTATACGGTTCATGGTTCTGAAAGGCTGTAAAGATAAAAATTAATTCAAAATAAAATGGAAAGTAAAGCAATCCCCTCTGAATAAAAATGTTTTGTTTGAGCATTAGTAAACAATTTGGATAGAGAAAAAAAATAAAGGATAGAAAAAAGGAAAGGCCATTTGTACAATAAAATGAACAAATTGATATTGCCATACTTCACTAAGTTACCTACCTGATTGCCTTGAACATTGTCAGCATCTTCCTCTTCATCATCATCCAGGTCTTCGTCTTCATCTTCTTCAGGTAGAGGGATGTTAGCAGCCTCTTCGGTGTACTGAGCCATGGTACCTGGTGTCGCCCAGGCTATAGAGGGCCGTACCCTGCTGGACTGATTCAGGGCCATGGTGATACCTTTAGCTCGGGGTTTGGGTCTCACCTTTTCAACCTCTTGCTCGACTTTAATCTAGAATATCCAACAATGACAATTCAACCAACTTTTATTTCCTGATGTATTATGATCTTCTTTTGTATGATTGCTGTAGTGTGTGTGCATTGTAACCAATTTTTAAGTGTGAACCAATAATGCACTTATTTTCTTGAAATTTAAGAGGGATGTCTGAATGAACGGACCATTTCTTTTAGGATCATTATTCCTTACCATTGATTTTCCCGTTAAGAAATTAACCCCAGTACAAGCATACACTAAATGGGTCTTAAAGCACTGTAATATACCATACATGTTTTAGTATGTACCTGTTTAGCTATTGCAGAGAACTTGCACACATGGAGGGTCTCATCAAACATGGTGGCACACTGGTTGATGTTGACTATCATAGATGCTTTGCCTTTACCACTGAAGTAACTCTGGAATAACCTGGTCAGTTTGCTATCTCTAAAGGGAATGATCTTTGTGTCCCTGCAATACAAAATTGTATTCTGGTTTAATCGTTGGCGCATGTAATTCACAGGGTGGTTCAATTATCATTGAAATATCTCAAGTACACTAGGGTTAGCACTTTTATCATATGCTATCAACACTGATTTCCTGTGTTTTTATTTAACATTTTAAAACAATGAATTAAAATTACATACTTTCGTTTCTTAATGAGCTATCAATTAGTTTTCTTTCAAAGAGAAAAAAATGTACTTTATCAATTATGTAAAATAGGTTATTGTGTAGGGACAAGAACATCAAAAATAATCCTAGAAAGAGCAAGGCATTAACATGTCACCACCACCCATTTGTTACAGACACTGACTGCTGAACACCATCCACAGAAAGTTGGAGACTATAACAATATGCCCCGACTTGTGGTGGTGACCTATAAAATGGGAGTAAGGTGTGAGTATAAGCAGAACTTACTTGGGGTGAGCCTGATTGTGCCTCAAGACAGCCAGGCATCTACCAAGAGTGAGAAGGGAGGTATTGATGTTCCCAGCCTCCTTCAGTCTCTCACCATCAGCCTTTGTCTTTCCATACCTCTCACTACCAGCCAAGTCACAGAATGACAATCTAAAAATATAATTGACAAAAATATTAATTTGGAGGCTATCTTGAAAACCTTACAAATATTAATAAATTGTGAAACTATCTTGAAAACCCTAATATAAAGGGACATAACAATCGCGTGGAAGGATCCCATAGTATGTTCTCTTGCTGCATACATTGAGATATTTGTTGGAACAATCATAATGCATTTATGGTACAAGGTCACTCGTTAATCTGGAATTCATATTAAGGGGGTTCACTAGAATTTCTCACAACGGGCTAAATAAATGAAAACGACAGGCAAAGATAATGGAAATCATAAATTTAACATGGAAAAGTTGAAAAGTTCCAAAAAACAACAGGCGATTTTGTGAAAACAACCAGTGAAAATCGCCTGTTGCCTGCTGCAAATGAAACCCCTGCATATGTGATGTGTATGTGCTAGATCATTGATCTGATGTTTATCTTTTAAATCAAGGTGTGGCAAGATTGCCTTGGGTTTGCTCACTTACTGGCTAATACGGGCAACATGAGGATCATCTTTGTCGACCACTCGTAGAAGTTTGATGTTGAATATGCAGTGACTTCTGCTGGAACTGTGGTTCAGTTTGGTACAAGCAACACTTAGATTTTTCTGTCCAATTGTTAATACCTTGTAGGCCTCATCAGCTGATGTCACGTGGATATGCTTCAGACCTACAAAATGTATTATACGACAATATATAAACATAAAATAAGAAAGAAAAGTAAAGAGTATTAAATTACCGAGATAAGGCTGATTATTCATACTTTCAGAAAAGATGTCGATTCTGCGGAAATTGATCAAAATTAATGATTCTGAAATTCTAGGCCTGATGGCCAATTCAGTCCATGCTTTGTGAAAAAAGAATTCTAGGGGAAGTGATAACTTTCCTTTACAACGAATAATATTGTAGTACATGTATTGATCTATTGATCCGAGATATGATACTGTAAACTATAAATAATACAACTTTTTTTTCAAATTGCAACTTCATTTCTTTGCATTCTCTGGTTTATTTATTTATGTACTAACCTTTTATATAGGGTGACCCATTTTTGTCCTCACTTAGCTTCAACGTAGTTCTACGGAAATTTTTCTCATTTTTCTTACTGGGTATTGCTTCCAGCAGATCATAGATGTATTCATTGTAGACCTCGGCGAATGACACCCAGACTGAGAACTTGATTTGCCCCTGTGCTTCAACACTGATTGCTGCCTCCTCACGTTCCCTGTTCTCCGCCTCTTCAAATAGCTTAACAATATTCTCTTTGGCCTCATCTGGAACAACATTTAGCTATTCATATCATATCTTATACAATGATCAGAGCAATATCAGGTTGATAACACCAAGTGATAAATCACATATTTCAAATCAGGACTGATATTGGGTTGATACTGGAATGAGAAGGATGATATTGGGTTTGATATCAATATCTAATTTTGATATCATCCCTGGTAGGTGAGTTCTAGTCATCATTTTTTATGTTTTGACAGGTATATGAAATACATGTCACGTTTATTAAATATTTCCAAAATTAATTTATTGTTTTCTCATCCAACAGAACATTTTTGAGATATTTTTGAATATCCCTCGGATGATACCAATTTCCAACTTTCCCCTCAGTCATCGCGTTCCCTCTGGAAATATCGATATCATCCTGATGTTCCCCATATCAAACCCCTCCCAGTGAATAATTACTTTATATCATATTAGTCACATCTGGAACAACATTCAACTATTCACACATCAAATTAATATAAGGGTAAGTAAAGTGATCAATTCCCATACTCAGATCCTTTCTGTCATATCATTGTTTTAATATATCACACAAACATTAAGAATTATGACTAAATTCTTGCACAAATTTAAAAAGAACATCAAAAGACAGGGCAATGGATACTGTTTTACATGCATTTTAATTTCATTTATTTCAGAGAGACAAACCTTCATTTGTTATCATGGGCTGATCATCAGAACTGGCAGTAGCAGTGCTGACTGTCGATATGGTAGAGAGCCTAGATACATCAGAGGCTGCATCATCTCCCAATAGACTCGTCACATCAATGTCCTAAATAAATAAACAAACACAAGTCACATGTATTTGCTAAATATAGAATCAACTAGTCTTAAAATATGGAAATTACAGTCAATTAGCACTGAGTATTTCAACATTTCTTACGTCATCAGTTGCGAGCTTCATGACGGAGTCTTTCACTTTTTGTTCGGCAGCTTCCTGTCTTGTTGATAGTTTTACAATATCTGAGAACATACGGGGTTTAAGGGACATTCCCCCCCACTGGCGACCTTGGATACTGTTAAACAACACATCAAGCGTTCTTGGTAGAATTCCAGCATCTTTCGGGTTTCCTGTAAAATTTTGGAAATTCATGTAGCTGTTAAACTAATAGGGTAGGGACTGAAGATTTAACTGCGCAATTTAAATAACAGTGCAGGTGGTTGGTTGGTTGGTTTTCACGCTCACAATGAAAAATTACACTCATCACAGTGTTGCCACTGATGATAAATTATATGTATACTCACAGTTTTCTTGTGAATGAAAATCTTTTAAAAGAAAACAATATGTTTCTCAAAGTGATTAAAAATGACTTTGTTCTATAATAGTCAACAAAGGTGAATTTCATGTTTTCATGTTAGACAATGTGGCAAGGCACTTCAATTTCACACTCGACTCTAAATATTTAAATCCGCCTGGGGCTACTGTAGAGTGGATATGACCCACACTGATATACATTGTGCAATCGATAACAACAGGGCATTAACATGCCACATGTCATAACCTTCCAATTTTTAGATGCTGACTACCGAATACCAACTGCCAGACCACAAACAACAAACATAATAAATCATAGAACATATTGCTGCATCCACTCTTAATCGTGCGGACCTTAACAATGACTTCCAAAAAAAAATTCCAAGAAGCACCAAGAAATTTTAACTCCTAGATTTGCTTGTAACAAAGATTTTTCAGTTTACCTTGTATTGTGTATGTTTTTCCGCTGTTTGTTACACCATATGTAAACAGAAGACAATTCTGGCCATCTACAAAGTCTTTCACCTTCCCTAGCATTGTAACATTAAAAAATTCTTTTTGACTCGTCATATCTGGAAATGTCTTGGAGAATGTAAATTTGTGAGCTACTTTGCCACATCCATGCATACTGTTTTTGTAGGTAACCGAGTCTTTGGGTGCATGCATTATAACCATATGTTCATTTTCTCTCTCCAAGCAATGCTGAAAATAAAGAATAAGTATAACTTATATGGATCAGAAATATCATATTGCAGGGGCAAAGGATTATATTAGATTACGTTTGCTTATTATTTAAACTAAAGCTGACCCTGAATATTGCAGATAATCTATTCAAATTATATTTTACGCCACTGTTGTGGAGCTATTATGATGTTCCAAACTGGATTGATTGTTAACCTGGTTTTCCCCATCTTTGATTTCTTTGTCGGAGAACGGCCGAATTCTTAAGTATATTTTCATGTTCTCGCGTCCAAGGATACTGTGATCATCCTCGCTCTGTTGGGGCTTAGATGCAATGGCAAATGATTCCAGAAGATTATTTCTACAGTTTGTGAAGATTGTCTCATCATCATCATGATGTCCTGCATCTTCGATGTCCTCTAGATCAGCCATTATGGAAACTGAAATCAACGCAGTAAGTTATAAATGATTCCATAATGTCTTGTGACATTTTTTCAGAGTTTATGTCCCATATCTGATTAAAGAACTGTCAGATGGTCAGTTTGCGATGAGAACTCATTTTAAATATCATTCAAAAATATTTTTGAGAATGGTCATGACATTATGTTGAAATTGAAACAGGATATTTCAGTGAGAAATTGCACTATTTTGTCTGGGATAAATATCGACTAGATACGAGTAGAAATAATATTGATTTACGTCATAAAATATACCCCACAGACCCCATGTTAATTAATCACAAAAAATGAAATATATTTTCTTGTATTTGACAGATAATATTTTCTTTTACTAGACATACTTTAAATTACATAACTTTTAGATTCACAAGGGTGAACTAAAACTGATGAATATCAAGCTAAAGGGAACTTTCTTCTATGACTGTCATGCTACATTTATCTGACCTGAATGAGCCACTTGGTAGTGAAACTGGTAATTACCTACTCGCATCTGAGTGATTAAAACATGCAAAATATTGATATTTTTTTCTTGTCTTTTTTTCCGTTCCATGGAATTTGTGTTGCTGGCGAATGAAATCCCAGAGATAAGGAAACCTTACTCGAGTCTCTAGCCAATACTTGTGGCCTTAGAAGAAGGTAAAGGAAACCCAAAGCTTGGAAACCCTACATTTATTTTTACAATTCAGACTTTAGATTAGATCTGGGCCAGGCACATGATGTCTAAAGAGTCAATTCTGAAGTGAGGAACCTGAATCAACACCTGTGCATCTTGTAGGCCTAGATCTAGTCTAGATCTAGTATTGGTGAAAAAATCCTAGAAATAGCCTTAGTTCCTGTAGAAGTGCATTCTTCGGAATCAAATGGATTCCATATTTACTATATGGATTGTGGCTATAAAGTTAACACATTACTTGAATTTTGAAATAAATAGTCATTGAAATTACTGAATTTGATTTGAAAAAAGAAAATTTTTACTGACATCGGATTTTTCGAAGTCATTTTTCGTAGATTTATAAAAGTATTTCACTCACCAAAAGTATGCCTCTTGAGTCCAGGTATGCGTATAACACTCTGTCGGTGATTTCAACTCTATATTTTAGATATTATTATGTAGATCAGGTAAAGTTGACATCAACTTAGGAGAGCTTTTTCAGTTTCAAAAATGGCCCGCTTATTTAAAATTAACCAATCAAATCATTCGGTATAAAATTGCAAACATGGTTCGAAATAATTTGATTGGCCCATTTAGATCACGTGGCAAAAGGAACAAGAAGTTGAAGATGGCTGCTTTAGGAAATCTGGTAATTTTTATATCCTTTATAGAGTTTAAAGTAGTTTAACTCCCACTGTATATATTTTATTACATACAGCGAAGACGTATACATTAGAAGTTACATCTAGATCATTTCAATTTTGTAATTTAATCAACAATTAAGCGATTGAGCCCTATGTTATCTGAACATGTGATTTATAAAACCCGGAAGTGATGGTGTAGATAGAGTCTTTATTATGGTTTATTTTCAGGGAAGTGGGTCCACGGCCGCTGTTAAAGACATGTTTGAAGCACCAGATAGTAAGATCGGCAATGCTGTAAGTTAAAGGCTCCTGTCTATAATCACATGTTATTTTCTCATTCAAATAAAATATGAGATGTACACAATTATTGTTATCATGGGCTTTCAACTACATGTAGATTCACACTGTGTAGATCTAATTGGAGAAAATCAATGTCCATCGTAAAAAGTCATCGTAGATTTACAACCAAAGACAATTGTACTTAGATACAAGACTCTTTATCCAATTCCAGTACTTACGTAGTGGGGTCGTAGCATACGATAATAGTAGTTTCTGCTGCAGTCCGTCATTAATAAGCATCTTGGGGTTATATAGGCTTAGATGTAGAAATATTGAAAGATATATTGATAATGTTGGATCAACCATCTAAAACAATTGAAACAAAAATGTTGATAAAAATGATAAAGATGAAATATTGTGTAAAAAAGACAAAGTAAAAGGAAAGAAGCGGTGACATATTCTAAAAGTCTCTAACTCTTTGCTTGTGGATGGTATTCAGCGGTTGGAGTTCGGCGGTCGGCATTCAGGATCCATAACAAATGGCAGGTTGTGACATTTTACATGTAAATGCCTTCTTTTAGATATGATGGTTAGAAATCATTTTGATGGTGATTATTGAATTGAAATATGTGATTAAATGTAGACAACACTACTGTTAATTGACACCTTGAAATATTCAAATGCTTGTAGCAAATCCTTCTGCCTACTTGAGTATCAATGGCAAGTAAATGTGGGTAATTCAAAATTTCTTCAGCAAATTGTCTTACACCCAGAACAATGCCATTCCACATCTTAAGTTCATTATTTGGGGAGAGATAATTTCTCAACTATAAAAGTAATTTGAGACAGCTAAGGCAAGTGATGTGGGACTATTGGACCAATATTGAAGGTGATATTAGGCACACAGAACATTTTTAAATTCATTAACATTTGACTTGAGTCCAACATCACCTGCCATGTCTGATTACATCTGTACAAACCCTTACTAATTTAATCATTTATAATTAGAGTGAACATGGTACTAATGAAGCTGTTGGTGGTAAGCCAAAGCATGAGGGTGGCCACAGCATGAGGTTTTCCAATGTCTTTGTAACTTATATTATCAAACAGAGACCACTGTATGTAAATAAGTTTGATAGGACATGATTCAAAACCTTTCGGATTCACATCCCTCTTTAAAGTAGTTAAAATTACAAGATATTTCTTTACTGGTATGCCATTTAGACTGCGTAAACTCAACGATGTAGGAAAAGTGTACATGCCTCAAAGCAGAACATTTCTTCTTCAAATTTAGGATCTAGCATACAGTACCCAAATTAGAAATCCATTCAAAAAGTTGTTTGTGTGGCATGTATGAAATATATGCAAAACTGATTACATTAAATAAGTTCATAGTCTGGTAATATTAAATCCATTTATTAGAGTTCATTGTCACAGACTTGGGCAACTTCAATCTAGATCGCTTGTGGGATGAAGTTATATTGCCATAGCAATTAATTATTTTTTGACGTTGTTAAGTTTTAATGACGTAATAGTAGATTTACCTGTATTCATTTCAACTCTTTTCAATTAAAATTAGTAATCATGGATGCAGTTTGCATTCGAAATGTCTAAAACAAAAAATTGTAATAAAGTCTGTGACAATGAACACTAATAAATGGACATGCAAAACTGGTTTGAATATCCCATATTTTGTGAATGAAATATTTGTTTTATGTTATAGCCCATGATGGAGGTCCAGTGGGCCCTGAAGTCATACAGCCATGCAGAAACATACTTTAATGTGAGTTGCATTCTTTTTTAAGATGGACCATCAATAACTTTGATCTTGTTATATGTAGCAGATACTATGGGAAGATTAAATGATATGAACAAATTGGAAATGTTTCAGTTTAGTCAATCGAGTTTATTATCAAAGAAAAAGGTGGAAATCTTTTTCACAAAAAGTGATTTATTTACTGTTACTGTACTACTGTTAGTTAAAATTAAGATATTGTCTCACTTATTATAAATTCATTATTACATCTGTTCTCTATTTTCTATTTCCACTCTACAGCTGATCACATCTGTCGACCCAAAGCTGTTGAAACTTACAAAGAAGGATAATGAAATCTATGCACATTTTCGTGAAGACTTTAAAGATGTGGTCATAAATAAAATAGATGAAGACTCATTGAAATCACCAGATTCTAAAAAAGTAAGAATACCAATTTATTTATACTATTTTGTGCCATCAGGTAACTAATTTGCATTATATCTTGGAAAGGAGGGCGAGTTGTTTGTAGAATGAATCGGGGGATTTTTTTCATGAATTTCGCTTATGTTTTTCATCCAAAAAACATCAATACACTTTAAAACATTTTGTTTACTTAAAGATTACACCATGTAATCCAAAAATATATTTCTCGTTTTCAAAGATAATCCATGGATTAACACCCAGGTATTTTTATTTTTCAAACTTCAGAGGGCTGGGAATCATTGATGCTCAACGCTTTTGAATATGATAAATGCTGTTTTAAATAGGTTTTACGTATGCCATTAATTTCTCAAATTATGTAAGCTGAATGCGCCCTAGAATATTCTCTTGGAGGAATCCAATGGTAATCCAATGGTAGTTCCAAGCAGATTTTTAGATGGCAGGTAAGTAAATTCTTTAGTACTCGCCTTATTGGGTTGAGTTAGTTTATATTCAAAAATTATAAATGATTCTGTAAAGATGTCAGTGTGGATGCTATATAGATTGCACACGTATGGAAAGCTGTATAATCCTATATTATGTAACACGAGTACAGTTTTGGTTGACATGATTGTGACTGAGTGAGAGATTAAACTCTTTAACCCTTTCACGACGATGGGCTCCATATGGAGCCCTATTATGTAATACCTTTCAGGACGATAGGCTCCTTTTGGCACCATAATTTTTATTTATATACATCAATGAAATGATAATATCTCCAGTTCTATTCAGTATTTTTACACCAAATTTTGACAAGTTGTTCTAATACGATAGTCCTTACTAAAAATGTATTTCAGTGATAAAATTCAAGGTATAGGTCCCTGGGCATAGGTAATTTTCAGTTTTCCCCTAAAAACTGCTCTTACTTATCCGTCACCAGGGCCAACATTTTCCTCTTATATTCACGTCGGGAAAGGGTTAAGGTAGTTCTGCATGTTGATAATTTTTACTAATTTTGGTGATGAATAAATTATCTGATATTTATAAATTGGGCAAAATTTTTTACATTTTAAGTGGATATAAAGAATTATGGTAACATACACATGGACCATGCATACACATACAATTACAAATGTGAAAATATTGTCCCTTTCATTGATTATCGGTATTTATAATCATGAAAATTATTGAAAAATATCGAGACATGTCTACCTTAAAATCAAATTGGCTTACAAGTACCCTAAGCTATTTTTACATTTTTATTGCAAGAAAATCTTTTTGCAAGGGTTACAAAGGTTGAAATATTGTGGTGGCTCTATTTGGCTGGAGTTTAATATTCAGACCTAGCTATAGGTATTATTACATTTATATGTACACTAGTATCTTGTTGACCTATATTCAGCACTGTATTGATGAATGGGCCACTTATTAGGGCCAATATTCAATCATAAAGTGTACAGGGGTAGAGATGCCAAACCAAGAAGTCTTTTTGTGTCTGTCAAAATCCATTTGCATCCTACACATCCCAACATATTATCCAAATATGTTATTAATTAATGAAACATAACAGTATAATCTTTGGATTTAGAAAGTTGTATGGGATTTCATTAGTATAAAAGTTGCTTTTGAAGCATTTTTCTATAGCCATTTTGTAGGAAAAAATGATGGAAAAAATGTATAATCTTTTAATTTGAAGTATGACCTGAATCGATTGCAAACTTTATATTTGCACATCTGATGTGATATACCATTTGTGTCATACTGTGAAATTATTTAATTTGCAATCGATTCAGGTCATAGTGTATTTTAGGTATTTTTGTGAAATTAATAGAAACCAATGGCTTCTATTGGAATTGATGATATCCACATGTTAAGTCAATGGGCCCATTCAATGGCAAGTCAATACACCCTTGCTGAACTAAATGACCTCAACCTCAGCCCATGTGGGTCCAAACGCCCAAATATTTTCCACAGTATTATGTGACATTGAATTCTTTATGTTACACCTAAAAATGATTCATTTTGTTCATGGGGATATCATAATGGAAAGTGCACTAGACCCTTATTGTAATTGTATGATATCGTATTTGTGATTTGAATATACACTGTGATATTTGAGAAAAAGAATGTTTTGTTTTAGTTTCATTGCAATTTATAACCCTAATATCCTTCCCAGAATCCTTCCTTGTCTTCCAATTTTCTAATAACCTCAGAAGTTCCTACTTTTTAAAAAAATACAATTTTCCATGATCATTTTTATGTCACCACCACAAGTGGTGACATATTGTTATCCCATCGAACGAAGTTTGGAGGGATATAGGGAACGCCTCCGTCCGTCCGTACGTCCGTCCGTACGTACGTCCGTCCGTCCGTCTGTCCGTCCGGGCAATAACTCAAATACCGTTGGCCCGATTTTGTTCATATTTTGTACACATATACCCTATGGGGGTAGAAGTTCTGCTCGAAAGCCGGTTTTCAAAATGGCCGCTCATTTCAAAATGGTGGCCATTTTAGTGCCGATTTTACAGTAATTTAGGTGTAATATGTAAAACTGTAATAGCAATATGTTTTAAATGTAAAAAAATTATAAAGGACATTAACAATGCTACAAATGTAGATATTAAAGAAGCACATGGCAGCCATCTTGAAAAATGGCGGCCTTTACTCGTCATTTTACAATTTTTGCTATAACTCAAAAAATAGTGGAGCGATTTTGTTCATATTTGGTATGTGAATACTATAAGCATTGCACACTGTCTAAAGACACTTTTGGTAGAAGGTGGCCATTTTGAAAAAAATTTTGAAAAATGGCCGCCATTTTAATGTATTTTACTATAACTCGAAAAGTAGTGTAGCGATTTTGTTCATATTTGGTATGTGAATACTATAAGCATGGCACACTGTCCTATGACACTTTTGGTAGAAGGCGGCCATTTTGAAATTTTTTTTGAAAAATGGCCGCCATTTTAATGTATTTTACTATAACTCGAAAAGTAGTGGAGTGATTTTGTTCATATTTGGTATGTGAATACTATAAGCATGGCACACTGTCTATTTCTAATGACACTTTTGGTAGACAGTGGCCATTTTGAAAAATGGCCGCCATTTTAACGTATTTTACTATAACTCGAAAAGTAGTGGAGCGATTTTGTTCATATTTGATATGTGAATACTTTAAGCATGACACATTGTCTAATAAAACTTTGGGGAGTAGTCGGCCATTTTGAAAAATGGCCACCATTTTTATGTGTGTTATTTTACAAGTACGTCTGCGATTTTTCCAAAATTTTAGAGGTGGCTACTTAAAAGCACATTATTTCTTCTGATGACAACTTGGCTAGTGAGCAACCATTTTGAAAATGGTGGCCTTTCTGGTGTGTTGTTTTATGATATTTGCTATTCGTTTGTAAAAATGCCAGCCATTTCTGTTCGATGGGATTCGCTACGCTTTGGCGTTGCCGTTGTTCTGGTTATGGTCTCAAACTTTTTTGTGGACGGTGTTTATCATTTGGCAGTTGGTGTTTGGCAGTTGGTGTCTGTAACAAATGGCAGGTGTTGACATTTTGCATGTGAATGCCTTGTCTTATAATGTAGCCAACTGCAATGGATGTAAAACGGATACAGTTAACTAATACATTTCTTGGCATCAATTCAAATCATATGCTAATTTTAAATGAAAATGCTTTTTTTCATGTTTTACCACTCATAAATGCCATAATATCTCGATGTCACATTTAGGAAAATATGGCTATCAACAAGTTTTGAATTCTTACAATCCTGGAAGTTGTACATGTAAGCGTGCACATCTGTCAGTTCAGTTTATGTGTAAAAGTTAATCCCCTAAGCCTTAATACCTGATGCATGAAATGTTATGAATGAGTTACATAATATGTACTCATGCTATTTAGGTAAATGTTGTGCTGTTTCACCAGATTTGACTGACATCTTTAAATAACAACAATTTGATTTGATGATCAGACAGCAACAAAACATATTAAGTGGCCAAGACAAAAGAATGTTATTATGATAGGCATTCTAGGGATTAAGGAATGCATTCAGCTTACATAATTTGAGAAATTATTGGCATACGTAAAACCTATTTAAAACAGCATTTATCGTATTCAAAAGCGTTGAGCATCATTGATTCCCAGCCCTCTGAAGATTGAAAAATAAAAATACATGGGTGTTAATCCATGGATTATCTTTGAAAATGAGAAATATATTTTTGGATTACATGGTGTAATCTTAAAGTAAACAAAATGTTTTAAAGTGTATTGATGTTTTTTGGATGAAAAACATAAGCGAAATTCATGAAAAAAATCCCCCGATTCATTCTACAAACAACTCGCCCTCCTTTTTCTTAAGTTTTCTCTGCCACATATTACCGCATTGAGAAATATCAAAATGTAAACTTCTACTCATCGGAACTCTCGATCAGCCCCCGTGGCTTTTGGACTTGATTGTTTTTCTGTATATAATTCCCTCAAAAAGAAATACACATGTAATATTTATGATATTCTCAAAAGTCTTATGAATATTAAAAATTCATTTGAAGTTGAACATTATTTTACTACATTTAAATTATTACGAGGGTTGTCCCAGAAGTGATGCACTATTATGAGGGTTATATCCTGAATATTTAAATTCATTTGAAGTTGAACATTTAAATAGAAATGTTATCAGAAAAAAAGTACACTATTATTACTATATTATTTTTTGTTGTAGAAATGGCGTAAGTTCTGTGAGGAGTATCGGGGGGAGGTAGAAGACTACAACTTTGGCACCCTTCTAAGAATTGACTCAACTGAAGATATATCTGATAAAAATACTTGTATTGGTAAGCACTATATTTTTATTTATTATTTATTTTGAAACTTTTTTCAAAGATTTTTTATTACACAATTTTATTCTTCAATGTTAAGTGTAAAAATACACTACACTATACACTCTGCACTATTCTGTACTTTTCTGCATAATTTTCTATTTTGAAAGGATTTGCACCATTGTCATAGGTCAAACTTCTGTTTACTAAAAGGGTGCTATATTGTGATCAGTTTGTCGGGTAAGTGGGTGAATGTTTTCAAGTTTTATCTCATATTTACGTTTTTGTTTTCCAGTACCAAGAGTGCAGTTCCTTGCTATTGAGATAGCCAGGAACAGAGAGGGTTACAATGATAGCCTCAGGCAGAAATATAAAAATACAAACAAAAATAAAACTAAGGACAGTAATGGTATTAGTGATTCTGATATAACTATAGCTGACTCTGAAAATACAATCAAGCAGGCTTTGGAAAATGGATTTAAATTATAGCAGGTTGATCGGTGTGTGTAAAATGCCACAGTGGTTAGGTTCTCCCATGTAAAACAGTGCGGAAGGAGTGAAAGAAACAATGAAAAATTAATAAGCATAAAGTTAATGTTTTTTACAGTGAAGAGAAAATGTAGGGGAAGAACAACAAGTGTGGCGTTTTTCACAACACATGCTAGATTGCAAAGAGAAATGAGTGTTTCAAATACTGTTTTGAGATGTATTTATTAATTGAAAATACTGAAGTGAACATTTCTGAGCATGTTTCTTCAGGTTGGTTATTAATTTTTATATCCATAACTGTTACTGTTTGACGCAACCTTAAATTTATTTATCGAAACGTCAATAAACAATAAATTTAAGGTTGCATCGAACAGTGACAGTTATGGATATAAAAACTGAAGTGAACAGCTGTAATGCTTCCTGTAAATGGGACATTGTTTATTGTAAACTATATCAATTTATTCTTTGAGAACACTTCTGCTCCATTGAGATAGGACTGAAAGCTTGCATTTTAACCATACTTTCAAACTAAAGGCCAGAATAAAAACACATGTTTGGCTTCTTCTTTTACTTTTTTATCCCTCAAAAGTCTTAGCAATTTTTCTTTTTCTCAGTCTTGATTTATTAAGATTAATATTAGTTGAATATTCAAGTTTTTATGTTTAATTTGTTAATGATTTATAGAAAGATGTCTCTTTATCACCATGGTTTTGTCTGACAAAGCATTTGCAAGATTTACATGTAAATTGCAAGTTTCACAATTTCTTAACACTTAAATAATGAGAAACAAGTAAGTTATGTCATCCGTTCTTCAGCCATCTCAATCCTATGAACAAAAAGAATATATTTCTATTTCTGTCATACGTGTGTTCATTTTTTAGGTTTGTTCAATGTATACTATCAGACATATTTTTTTTTTTTACAATTGAGGCAATAATTTTTCTGGTGGAGGTGCAGAAAATAGAATATCAATTTGAGATGATAGGGCTTTCCACGTAAATATCAGTTGTACTTTGGACAGTTCTTAACCATTTAGAGTGCTTTATGGGTTTTGTAAAAGGATTAACACCACATGCACACCAAATAAGAAATAAAATATATGATTTTATAGAAATAATTTATTATTGCATTAAGGTACGTTTTTATTATTCATTCATCTGTATTTTATTCAAGAAATCCATTCAATGCAATTCTAAAAAGTGTTATATTACAGTATGGTAGTATTTTATTCAAAATGTAGTCATATCAGCTTTGAGACCTTCTGGATTTATTGTCTTTTTTAAAGCAACTCAAAAATGTATTCCATGATCCAGTACACTTAGTACAATACACATCATCAGAATGTTCATTGATTTTAACTTGCAATCTTCTACTCCCAGGTCTTTTTAAGTCCTACAGGTTTTGGGGTGTATTTAGTTTGGCTGGTCTATGACTCCAGGTGCATATCTTTGGCTAAAAGTTGTGCTGTTGTAGTGTGCATCTCATTACGGTGTTTCTGGAAATTCTCTATCGCTATAGGACGAGCCTTTTCCCATGCGTAGAGATCCCTGCAAAAAAACGGGATATTTTTTTGATATTTGAGCTAATCATAACCTATAAGCATTGTAGGATAAAATCTTGAACTTACCAAAGCACAGCGTGTTAATTCAAAGTCAAATCATCAATTTGAACAATTTAATAGTATGAGATCATAACTAGATTCAATTTATTATTCCAAAATAATATAAAAACATTTTTGTTCTATTAACAATCATACCATTATTTTGTTTCATACAAATTTCATACTACATGTATGTTACCTGTGTACTGGTCGAACAAATTTCATTCTGCCCTGTGCATTCATAAAATCAATAGCCAATGGAATGGCAGCATCAAATTCAGCCCTGAGGCCAAGTCTTATCCACCTGAAAATAGTAATAAAATGACAAAAACTTCATCAATAGAGCTCACGTGTCTTGTCCTTTCCTTGATGTTGGCTACCCTGAAAACCAACCGGTTGGAAAGGAGTCACACAAACCTCAAACTTTTGTGAATTATTTTACAGTTTTGATAATGAACAGATTGCATGTAATGACTTCAAATGTATATTAGTTATGTCTCAATCAATTCATTAGATATAAATTAAGCTGGTGAATATGTTACCTGAATCTTATCTCAGAATTTTTTACATCATCAAACTTGTACAGTTTCTGCATCATTTCAACCTTAGCCTTTGATAATGGTGGCTGAAATCATAAAAACAACAGTATTATACCTTCAAAAATTATAGTGTTAAAGTTTGGTGACAAATTGTAGTATAAACTCAAAAACAGACAAAGTCAACTTCAATACTGATATATTAATCAATACTGATATATTAAACAAATACTGGATGACCATGAGGTGAATATGCCAGAATACTTATCCTTGAAAAAAAATACTAGGCGAGGCGAAGCATTATTTTCTTTCGAGGATAGGTATTCTGGCATATCCACCTCATGGTCATCCAGTATTTATTTTATTATGCACCTCCCTTGGTCAATATCATATTCCTACCATTAATTTACTGGAGATAAATAAAAGATGGTGTTAAATTGTCAAGAAACACTTTATTTTAAAGAATGTAAGGACCTACTAGCATGATGAGCTGTGCTAGGAATTCTACTCTCTGTGGAGATGACAGACTTTCAAGATCTGAAGCTGGGAAACTGGAAACATCTTCATCCGATGCATCACTCCATTTCTTAGCCAAGGCTGTACAAGCATCGGCTAGAGATGTGTCAAACCTAAATAAATACATAAACTTTTATGGCATTTTCACATATAAATGTACTTCCACATGAGGGATGTTTTAAGCACTGTATGTGAGTTTCCTTCATTAGTATATTCCTGGGACTATTCTAATTATCATCTCACTGCATGGTTCTCATTTCAAAATTGGTTGAACATGCATCTCATGTCAAAAAATATCCTATTATATTTCCCTGTGATGTTAACTGTTCATTGGTAGCTAAGCTGAAATTTAAAAAGAGAATATTTTTAGTATCCCTCTTCCAGAAAGAGGTCCTTTAATATATATGTACACTGTATTTACATGAAGAGCGAATATAAAAATAAAATAAAACAAATACTTCATGCTACTTTCTGGGAATACCTGTGTCACTTATGGGCATCAGGAATATGACTCACTATTGAAAAGTAACTTTGGTCACGCTAGATAACTTCTTAAGATTGATGGTTTCACTTACTCATTCTTCACAGGAGGCAGCCCAGGTGTGTTAAACCAGGCATCCCAGTCTACAGAATCAAGGATCTCTTTCTGTAAAAAAAATATGAAATTATGTCTTACTGTTACATGTACATATATTTTCATTAATTGAATATATTCATTTAGAATATTTTCCAAATATATAATAACACTAGTTTCATAGCTCCCTAAAGATTCTTTCAGATCTAGTGAGCAACTTTAACATAAAATGTCTCAACTTTAGACTATTTTGGGCATATTTCATTCCTTGTCATGGCTATTTTCTAAAAATCCCCATAGTGCATACTTTAAAAACCTAAAGATTTTTACATTTACCAGTATGTGTTCCTTTCTCTATACATGTGGTTACCATATTAAGATTTTATTACTTGCAAGATTCTACATATTTGTGCACTTTAAATCTTCACCAATATTATTGATAACATACCAAAGATCTTATTTCAGAAGATATTATACTGGAGGTGGTATAACATACATTGGTATGTCAATTGTGTACACGTTGCTTGCCATTTGGCATCCCATTAGCTCTGATTCTGCATTACAGACAATTGGAGATTTTTAAAATACATATAGCAAACATTTTCTTAGAAAAAACACATGTTGGGTTTCAATTATGACTTTTCTGTAAGATATAAGAATTTCATCTGGTTGATATTGTGGTCAAAACTTTGTTAATTAATCTGAAAAATATCTTAAGAATCCAAATTAAAATGAGTGATTATCATGGAATCTTGGCTCACATGGTAATGTATTTCTAAAAGTTACGGCCAATTTCATCTCTTTCAAGAAGTATTTATAAGAATTTTAGGTTCATAGCCAAAATGTGATATTTCTAAAATCTGATGTAACTTAACAGCCGTTTTGAAATTTGGGGAATATTTTTCAAAAACTTCTGGGCATTAAAGGTATAACTGAAATTATGTATAATTTCAGGCGAATCAATGCAACACTTTTGGACAGATGACCAAAAAAGTGATTATCAACAGCAATTTTGAATTTCTACATCATTTTTACCAAATTTTAATAAAAACTAAAATGGGCAAAAACAAGACTTTTTTAACACTAAAAGCGTTGGTCCTTTGAATTGATTTTAAGAGACATTTTGTATAATTTCAAGTGAATTGAAAAAGATAAACTATGAAAGTTTTTGATCTGGGAGTCATAAGAGACTTTTTATATCAATAGAGAGATTTCGCACGGCGTGAAAGTACAACTTATAACGTATACTTATACTTATAATCAAAAGTACAAGGTGTTTCATAATGTGGGCTTTTCGTCAGGAAAGATCTTCTCGGACTGTAATAAATAAAGGTCAAAGGGCTGCCATTTGTACTTTCTTGAATTGTAGCATGTTTAATTGATCCAAATGTGTTTGTCTAGAATAAAATAGGCTCATATATAGTACATGTTATAGACCCATCTCTTCTCAAATTGACTCTTTGGAGATCCTCATTATGAAACACCCTGTATGTCATTTTGTTGAGCTACTGAATGGGTCGTTTCCAGGAATTGCTAGAACCTACTGCTTTGATTGGTGTTTCAAATTGATGGTTAAGGTATTTGATTGGATTCTGTTCCTACTCAGCCAATTAATTTTGCGGTCAATTGTTCCACACACATGTAGGTAAAGCTTTATACGGAGATCCAACTGTATACGTTTATCATCTTCGTATATATACCGTTTTGTAAGTTCATTGAACTTATACTGATCATGAAAACTTTGAAATAATCAACTTGTTTATGTAATGACTCACTTTAAAGGATCATGACTCACTTTAAAGGATCGTGTTTATAATACACTACAACTACTAGGACACGGAAGCAAGCATTTAATTATAATGTGCATAATCTACACGTGCGGATGACAGTGCATTCACAGTCTTTAGTTGATGGAGCTTTTCTATATCGGGAATAGTTATGTTCCATTGAGTACAATTTAAAATTGATTTTAGTAAATATAATAGTTCGACATGACCCTTTACGTATACGTATAAGTTGTACTTTCACTTATGTGCGAAATCTCTCTATTAATAAACAAAAATTACTTAAAACTGCAATCAAATCAACAGAAGTTATAAACTTGCCACTTTTGTTGACAAATAAACAGAAATACAGACAGACAGATGAACAGACAGACAGATATAATACAAGTCGGTGATTATAAGAGCCCACCCTGTAGAATAGGAATGACGTTTAAGAAAATAATTTTCATTTTAATCTAACTTTAATTTGAAATGAAAACTACTGATACATATCTGTTCCCAAAAACAAGTAATTAATTGTCATTAATACCTCTTAGTTAATGAAAATATTTTTAATTAATCATTGTATCAATGACAATCAAAACTTATTAATCATTGTATCAATGTCAATCAAAACTTACAAAGACTGGTGTTAAACTTACTAGCAACCCCCATAAAAATATCATGTTACACCCATATTCTTTTATTTTCAGAAAGTCAGGAATTGAATGGCAAATCATTTTATAAAGTCATATCTTAAACCATATGTATTTTCTCACCATAATTTCATCATGTCTCCTCAAATTAACCAATTACTCAAATTGAGGTTCCCAGAATAATAAAATTATCAATTAAAAAAAGATGGGTTAGGACCATAGCTCAACATATTTTTCGAAATATCTGACCTATTTTCTAAAAATAATCTTGTTTTTCTCATTTTCATTGCATTTAAAGAGATGGTAAGCAAAGAGATTATACAAGAATATTTCTATAATTCTATTATCCTGATTTCTAGTTGACTAGCAACACCTAAATCAATCAAACTTGAAATTATTTACTCAAATTGTCTCCCGCTTCAATTCAAGAAATGCTCCGTGAATATGAACTTGTGTTGCATATTCATTACTGTCTGGCAATACCGCTTATAATAATTAAAACAGATTTCATACACTTCTTGAATAGCACATAATTAAAAGTGTAGATTTCAAACTTCCTCATTGTGGAAAACTAATTTAAATTCTGTAATATGATATTCATCAGTACAATTATAGGCAATTTCTTCAATTTCAATTAGAAGAGTTAATCAACAATTCTAGATGTCTGATTGGATAAGTGTATAAAAAGTAGCATAGATGATCCTATGAAATAACAGTTAATTACAAGAAAGAAATGGCTGATTCCCAGAAAGAAATTAAGAATGATATCAAAAATGAAGGAATACCACAAGCAAATTTCAAAGAGTAAAATATCGGTAACCTTTATCTATAACTAGAAATCAGCAACTCCAATGAGTGGCAAATCCCAAAATGTTTTTTGATAAATATTTATCAAAACATATTTTGATAAATAGCAGCCATTTTGAAAATTTCTTCAAAAGAGCTCCTTTGTCCCTAGGTATCAGCATATGAAATTAGATCCAAGCCCGTCAACTTGTATTTGATTTATGAAAGATTATATTTTTTATGAAAAATAGCAGCCTTTTTTAAATTGAGCTGCCATCTTGAGAAATCCTTTTTGAGCAGAGCTCCTTTGTCCCTAGGCATCAGCTTATAACATTGAGCCAAATCCATCAACTGGTATTGGGGTAATTAAAGATAACATTATTAAAACAAATGGCGCCATTTTGACAAATAGTTGCCATCTTGAAACTTCCTTCTTTAGGTATCAGCATATAAAATTTGAACCAAATCCTTCCACTGACTGGTATTTGAGTTATCAGAGATCATGAAAAGTTTACGAAAAGTGGTAGCCATTTTGAAATTCAGCTGCCACATTTAAGACTCCTTCTCAAGAAGAGCTCCTGTATCCCTAGGCATCGGAATATAAAATTTGAACCAAATCTGTCAACTGGTTGAGTTATCAAAGAACATGTTCTTTTACAAGAAAGAATGTTTCTTTTAAAAAAAATTAAACCAAATCCATTCCACTACATCTAAGAAAAATGGTGGCCATTTTGAGATTCAGCTGCCATCTTGAAAATTCCTTCTTGAGCAGAGCTCTTAAATAATACTTTGATTTAAGTATAAAAGACATAAAACACCTTAGAAATATTTCATGAATTAATGAAAATTTCCAATTTGGTTTGCCATTTTGGATTTTTAATATACAAATAAAATTCCTGCTTTCCTGAAATCTCACATATATAATACAGGAGATTCTATATTAACTCTCTGGATTAATTATATTGCTCAGGGCGACCCCAAATATACAACCCATGAATAACTATGCACAAAACTTAAAAATTCATAGTGAACACCACATGGAAAAATCTATAAACAGTGACACCTGTCTTAATGAGAACCTCTCTCTAGTGAACATCTGTGTCTAATGAACACCCCCTTTGAGCCTTCCCAGCCCATTCTCCACTGACTTCAGTATAAAATAAACTTTCTGTGGTGAACACTTTCTTACAGTGAGCACATTTTTGTGGCTCCATAGGTGTTTACTGTACACAGGTTTCACTGTACAAGTAAGTTAACTATAGATAAGTCTCCACCTGCCTAGACTGGAAAGTTCCAAACACAATATTAGATCGTATCAATCATGCTTTAATGTAACTGTAGTCAATGGAAACATAATTTGTTTCACAACATATTGTAACATATTTAATCTACATTGTCTTTGTTGTATCAATCAGGGAGACTTCAATGATAATGTTTCTGAAGGCAATGTAGAAATTGCTTATTTGCAAATACATGTAATAGAAAAGAAACATTGAATAAACTTAAAAACCTGCATTTTGAGGAGATGGAACAGCATGCCTAATTCAAAGATGATTCTTTCGAAAACTAAAATTAACTGATATTACTAGTACTCCACATTTCTTTCATTGCACTTATTCTACCCAAGAAAATTCAAGAGGATTCAATCATCACTGACAATGACAAAATTATTCCAAATTAGACAGTCACATTTTTGGGGTCACCCTGTAATGCACATCTAGTATTTCCTAGATAAATCAAACATATGATCACATCTATAACAATCTTTCATTGTACGCTTATGAAGGAAGACATGGGTCTAAAAACTCAAATTCTATCTTATGTCCTCATTATAACTGTTATTGCACATGGCGGCAAAGTTTTTTCA